CAACGGTTGCGGCTTCTGCTGTCCACCCCTGTACTCTACCAAATCACGGCAGAACGACAATGAACGGCAGAAGCACTGCAACAACTTGCCATTTGAGCGCTGCCAACAGTACAAACATGTAAGTGCAGTTCTCATGAGCTACGAGTACCGAGCAGGAGCAAAACGACCGGGGCCTCGTTGCAATGGCTGCAGGTAGGCCGTAGACACCATGGAAACACTGGCAGCAATGATCAACACCTGAATGGTCAGCGCCGTCTTTGGCAATGCAGTGATGTACTTTCAATGCCGTTTCTTGAAAACGGTTCTTGTTCGGCTAGGCTCCTGTCGCTGGACTATATATGCTGGGCTCTAGTCGGGCATGCTTGTCAGTTTGCGATCATGCGACCAGCGCTGCAATCACTCTCGCGGACATGTGGGCTACCTTGTGGGGGGGCCCCCCAGAATCATTTTGAATGGTTCCAGGGGGGTCGCAGCCCCCTTGCAGGAGATGATTCGGGGACGTCGGCGACTTGCTGGAGTCGTTTTTTTAGGAAATGATTCCGGCTTTCATCTGACATGTTGCAGACCTACGCTTGCCGATGGTATCCTTTTGTCTTGCGCCGTTGCAGCCCATGCTCAGCTCTCAATTCTCTCTCCAGTGCTCCTCATGCCACCCGCCTAGTTGCCATGGCTACCCCTTCCACGGAGTTTCCCAGAGAAGATCACAGAAGGCTGCTGAATACATGTCGCAGCTACAGATGAAAACTCACGAACGCAACTCGCATGAGGGTGTACAGGAACGGCATGGAACGGCCACCACGGCAACCTCCATATCCGCAGATATCCGCAGCTCACTTGATTCGCCTTCGACACTCGCGGCAGCCACCCAAGGCGCGCTGCCCAGGATCCGTAAGGGAGCGCTTCTCAGGTTGGACTGGGATCATGTTTTCCTCTGTTCCTCCGTGAACCGGGAGCCCCGGTCCAACAGCTTCACCTGCAGCCCCGGTCCAGGGTCCTAGGATGTCCTAGGGTTTGCGTGAAAGGAAGCACGCCACAACCTTTTCCCCCGCAGGAGGCCCCGAGTCCTAGGTCGCGCCAGTTCGCAAAATCGCACAACATCTTTGTATGCGTATGTGTATGCGTATATGTACATGTGTATATGTGTATGTGTGTACATGTGTATGAAAGCAGTAAAAGCAGATCACACAGCAAGCATCAGCAAGCACAGATCACTTGACCCTCCATGACTCTCTCCCATCTTGGCCTGGAAAAACCTTTGGCAAACCCTCCCCGCGACCCCCCCCCCCCCAACGTGCTCGCGCACATGAGGAAATGATTCCTGAAAATGATCCTGGCGGGTGACCCCCCGTCAGATTGCTTTCCAGTTCGCTGCAAAAGTGCTTCGCAGGAGTGCCAGGTGACAGAGTAACATAGCTGACTTTTTAAGAGAGTCTTCTTGGTCATTCCCGCATTGCCCCGGTCTCTACGGACTCTACGGGAAATGCTGCGCAGAGCAGTGGCAGCGGCAGTTCATCCACATCGTCCTGCCTGCGACTACTTCCGTTGCATACCAACTCCTTCAGCCTCTCTTCTGCCTCCCTCAGCACTGTGGAGCGATGCACGCATCTATTCGCCATTGGCCAGCTGTTGTTCTGCCTCCAAGCCTGACAACAGGGCCTAGAGGTGGCAACTGACTGAGAACCCGGAAATCGCGACTGCTTCTGAACCGCATTGAACAAGGATATACTACGATGGTCGCGATAGCTGACATGTACTGGTTGAGGGATCGGGGCAGATCTTTGTGACGCATGCGCAGCCCGCTCCATCAAAAAGTAGGGGCAACAGGGCTTCGGAGTTCTGGGAAGCAGGCCGTGATTGGGATTGCCGGCCATGCTGGGTTCCACACCTTGGACGTTCAGGCCCTGTGTGTGGCTCTAACTTGACAGCTTCTAGAATATTCATGAACATTCTAGATTCTTGGTTGTCGTCGCCTTGTGTGTAGCCGCTAAAGCCATTTCAAGCATCATTCGACCCAGTCCTGCTGGCCACGTCGTCGCAGTGAGCATCTCTGAGGCACGAACGCCAGCCGCGCTGCACAACGTTACATCCCTGCACATCAGCAGAACAGCAAAGCTGCGTGTTCTTCGATTGCACTTGCGGGCTGGAAACCTCCTCTTGGATACCATGTTATGTTTGGCAACGAAGGGATTGAGTGGAACGATCGCAGTAGCAGCATGAGCCTATATGGTCAGCTTGGTGGTATCTGGCATTGCGCATCTCTGACCCCTGCTTGCAGTGTTGGCTCTGTCGGATCTGTTCGCTTCGTGCTGACAAGCGATCTGACTCGGATTGAAGAGGTTGAGATGGAATTTGAATGCGCCACAGCCGTATCGTTCAAAACCATGTCAGACAGGCTGTCAGGCTCGGGCCTCGCGTTCTCGGCCGGGCTGCACAGGTCAACGGGGCCGTTGGTCCTCGGTCCAACATGCCAACACCGGCATCTGTAACTATGACAGCGTGACTACCCTGACGACACTGCGCAGGTCGGTCAGTTTTTGCGTAGTTACGAGTCTTGTATTCTCGCTACGTGCTCAAGCTGATGCTCGGAAAAAAACCTGCACGTTCGCGAGCAGTCAGCAAGAGTGGACTGGGATATCGACACCCCCATGTTCATCACCATAATTTTCGCTTCACATCTCCCCGCGAATCGCAGGCCCCCGAGGTGAGGGAGGCCGCCCGCCCACACCCCCCCCCGGCTCCTACCACCCTGGCCCTAAAGCATCCATACCCTAAACTGCAACCCATACCCCGTCATCGGTTCCCAGTTCGGCTGCCTGTGCCGAGTCTTGGGTGTGGATCGTTGGCCTGGGCTTCTGCCTATTCTTCTCCTCCTTCTTCTACTGCTGAGTATAAGGGTCGGGGTCTCCCCCGACCGCTCATGGCCTCCATGCAATCATGCGGGCAGATATCAGCAAGGGGAAGGTGGAAAGGAGGGCCAATGAGTGAACAGCCTGCTTTCTTCTGGCGAAGGACTCATACCTAATGAAGGTCCGGTGTTGCCAAAGGGAAAAACTTATGCCTACGGAGCTGCACGGGTGAACGGCGCTGTGCCCAAGAAACAAGACTCTAAGACTGACATTGCCGGTTGCACCCCTACATGGGGCGGGATGTGGTGGGAGGAGGAGGCTGGGGACCGTTGAACTCAAAACGGCAAAACTTAAATACCGTTTGGGCCTCGGAACGAGGAGGATTCATTGTAAACAAGCATAGTCGCGAGCTCGCAGTTTTCGTGAGATCGCAAAGCTATGTCTCCGGTTTCCGCAAGCTGCTCTTTGCGCTTCCAAGATAGACAGTGAGGTTCTACAACCCTGTAACGCCGGCGTTTTGAATGCGCCTTGCAGAGCAAAGGAAGAGAAAAATGTTGTAGCAAAATGTCCGGGCAACCACATCAGTGCAGGTGCTGCTTTCATGATTAACGCAATCAAAGCTCTTTCTACTCTCTTTCTGCTCAGATTTTCTCCGGCATGTATATTACAAACAAACATGAGGCTTTGGCCCTTGAATTTCGTTTGTCTACACTCGTCGCCTGATCTCATGCTGGCGGAGTGACCCTACTCATGAGTGCCCATGAACCAGGGAAGGAACTGAAAGTACTGAAGCCTCGAGAGACCATGACTGAAGCAATGTAAGGCCGGTGCATCCAGAAGAGAAGTAGTGTCCCCATGGCCACAAAGTGGCATGGCCTTTCTTGGGCACACTTCGTGCCAGCAGCTTTATCTCACGAGAATGTCAAGCCATGTGCCAAGAATGAGGGAGCATTGGTGGTATCAACCATCAACCACACGGCAGTTGCCCAAATAGGCATGACTTGACAAGCGGTCATTAAGACAAGGACGGAACCATGTGGATGAAAATCAACGTGCCAGCCATCCTGCATCATGAGGGTTGGGCGCATCATATTATGTCTTTTCGTGGCTTTTGAAGTCTCGTGCTCCAAACCGTCAACGGCCTTGCAACTGAGAGCGTAAATGAGGCTGACCACCTTGGCCCCAAGTGTTTGCTGAGAAGAGTCTACTTGCCACACACTTTCAAGTAGTTTGCAACGACATCATCCACAAGCATGTTCACCAAACATGCTTGGCAGAAACGCGTCATGCTGTGCACGCGGCAGAGCCGTGGGAAGTTGACGTAAAGCATCCGAAACCGCCAGCACCTCCGCATGCCGACGCTACGTGCTGGCATGTTGCTCTGACAGCTCTTGCCAACATTCGATTCAACGTTGATCGCTCAGTAGCTACATAATGCTCATCTTCACAACGGCTTTGTCATGGCATGCATGTCCCTAATCGCTGCTCTAAGCGATCTACTGTGATCGGATCGCTGTCGACAAGCTGGCAGAAGTGGCGCTTGGATTATGAACAGACCAACAGAAGCCCGAAACACATCCAAAGCTTCCATGGAATTGTCCCGCAAACGTTAGATGTTGTTTCATGCCCCTTTCGTGAAACATGGATTCGAATATGTCCTACGATTAACATTTTTTGCACGTCGCTAATAATCTAGGCTAGAATGGTTCCTCTTGAAAGAAAGTTCATGAACATCTTTTTCGGATCCAGTCAAACTTAATGCGAATTAACATCCCTACCAGGCCGATGCATGATCCTACTATCAAGTAAGTTCAAGGCGTTCATAATCCCATCCCCCTAATATTAAACGGGGGGGCCCCCCCCCCCCCCCCCCTTTAAAAATTCCAAAACCGTTTTTTATAATTAGGGGGTATTTTTATCGAAATGTCATAATTCGCTAGACTTCAGGGTTACTCAAGTAATCAACTTAAGTAACCCTCTGAGGGTTTTATTGGTGTTGAGGGGTTTCTTGGAGGCCCCCCCCCCCCCCCCCCCCCCAATTCGGAATAGGGTTTTAAAGGCGGGGTTGGTTTCGGCAGGATTTTCCGGAAAGTGTTTTTATCATTAGGGGTCCATTTAATAAAGGGGGAAGGGATTAAGAAGTGAGTGAACTACTTATAGGTTTTGCATATATATACACACACAAATACTTACAGCAAATAGACACATATTACAAATATTATCCAAGCTTTGCAAGCGAGGTGCGAAGAAAGAGAGCTCAGCAACACCCTGAGCATGTCGCTTTGCTTGAAACCACCTTGCAGCTCTGCAGACAGGTACCATGGAGGTTCTGCATGCTCTCTTGTCTCAACAGGTAAGATTGTCGAAGGTCTCAGACCACTGCCTGTCAATCCACGTTTGCCACATGCCCTTGTCAGAAACGACAGACGTGGACTTGACCTGGACAAGAGCAGCCGGCTTTCCTAAAAAACTAGACCTGCATCAATAAACTGCCGGGCGTGCTCCTTGTCTGAGTGCCTCTTGATCTGTATGGATGGAGATGTGGCGTGGTGTTGAGTCTGCGGCGGGCAGGAAGATTGGCCGGAGGCGGGCTCTGACCAGGCCTAGTCGGTGTCGACTCTCACGAGCTCATCTTTGTGCATGGTGTTTCAACTTCCTAAAAGCTGAAGCCGATGCCTGAGGATGGAAGCGCCTGACCTCCTTGAGCGAGCCTTGCCGCACACGGCACGCAGATTCACGTCACGTTTCACCACACCAACCTGCTCTGGCCCAGGCTTCGGCCAAGATGGCGCTACGATGCTCTACAGCAGAATAACGCATACTACCACGTAATGAATACTACATATCAGTTGTGAGTTGGCCACACGTGGCTTTGAGAAACTGTGAGGATAATTGACGGGCTGGCTCAGAGCCGTGCGCAGCTTCCTTCACAGCGCTGTAAAAGAAACAGCGGATGTAGCAGTGGTGATCCTCCCAACACTTTCGCTGATGCAGAAGCGCCCAAGGCTCCAATGCCGGGGATCCACTCTCCATGATAAGACAATGTGGAAGAGTACCAGCTCTTGAGCTGCGTCACACGTCGAATTCGACACCATCCGTGCTTCTTGGATATTCTTAGGATTGCACACGCGAGCTTAGACACACCTGTGCCACTGTCTTTTCTTCTACACACGCACGGTCAGCTCATCATGAGTCCTCCGCGATGACATCGCCCTCGTGCGCCTCAGCCTTGCCAGAAATGAATGAGCTTGCGCTGGCAACAGAGAACACATTGAATGTCGAGTACATCCTTCGCTTCTTGCCTACGCAACACTACGAAGCCCTCTCGCATCCTTTCGCAGCTACGAACCCTTTCACAGCCTCCACCGCCAGCAGCAGCGGCAGCGAGTACGTGCTGAAGGCCTCGCGGCATCGGCTCTCTCCGACCACTGGACCAGTGGACCAATGGAGAGCAGATCACCAATACACGTTGCTGAGGCGAGAGCAAAATGCTCGCTTCCCAAGCTAAGGCCAGCAACCTTGTCATGGTATCCGGATGAAAATTCTGTGGCGCATTGCAATACGTGCCCTGTGTGCGGCCGCAAATCTCAAATTCGTCTAGTCCTTGAGCTCCTGAGAAGCTCACACCGCCACATTCCCAGATGGAGGCAACATACGCCCACACCTCTCGACAGTTCTCGAGAGGACATGTGAAAATGTCCGGATTTGGTCTGTTCAGCAGACACACTGAGCTGGGTGCCCTGGAGCACGCGGGCGATGCATAGTAGTTCCGGAATGGCAGCTGCGGTGCCTGAAGTTCGTTTCACAGCAATTGGCACACTCGTTCAAAGTACCGTGTCATCAATGGAACAAGCCAAGGACTTGCCAAATGGTCCACTCGTGCCCACCTTCAATTTCAATCAAGATCATTCAAGTACCATCGAATCTCAACAGGACTGCAAGCACGTGCAAGTGCGAATTCTGTGTGCTTGCCTCCGTACTGACGAAGTGCTTCGAAGTCCCTGGTCAAGCGGCTGAAGTATCGTGGATGGAAGACGACCTCGCAATGGGCAAGCATCTGAAGAGGAAGTGGCACAACCAGGCAGTTTTAGTGTTACTAATTCACCTTTTCGGGATCAAAACGTCGAGATGCTTCAACTGCAATGCGTTGCACTACTCCTGTCCGTGCAAGGTGAATCACAGTGAACCATGAATCCAAGCCACGTCCGCGTCTGCGACTGTGAGAATCACCGAAGTAGGATCCACCGACTCCTAGTTTCGTGAACGTGAAAGTCTCCAAGTCGGGCCAAATTCAGAAAAAAAGGATGGTATGGTAATGTATAGTAATGTATAGTAGAGCTCCTTCAGAAGCTCTCTGTGAGCCTCCCGGACCGCCTGAGGCGCTGCATGTGTTGTCGTGGTGATTCATCGATTTGACTGCAATGCCCTCGCGATCCCCAAGGCCTAAGGCGAAGGCCCACTTCACGTTCGAAGCCTTGCCGGGAACTTCTGGATCCGATGAACCTTGGTGGATTTCCAGCTCAAATGCCAGCAAGGCTCACAGATTCAGATGCAGAAAGTGGCCTGAGGCTGTGGCCATCGACATGTTCCTCTCGAAGATTTGAGGGATGACTCGTGCTTCGGAACCTGTCACTTTGAAGCAACTCGCGTTCGCACTTTCAGGGAGTTTTGGGGGATCTCTTGGATGCTGGCGTGGCAAAATGCTTCGCAAAGCCGCCGGCCAGCTGGGCGGCCTCCGCGTACAGTCTCTAAATGTTTGAAAGAGCACATATTCCAGCGGACCCCAACAAGTACGAGAATCACGACGCGTCGCAGGCAAATGGAGCAACATGCAGTCACGGCCTTTTGCAGTGCCGCTGGACCCTCGCGTGCCTTTGCATCTGCAACTCTTTGAAGGGACTGCAGATGTGGGCAGTCATGGGTTACCGTAGGCGCACCTCCATAGCGAGAACTACGTGAAAGGAGTCGGCGCCGTGCGCCTGCCGCGGCCATGGACGGGCTCGCAAGCGGTTCGCAGATCTTGCAACATTGATGACAATGACAAGACATTATGGATGGACGACCACCAAGCCTGCGCCAACGAAGTTAGAGTCTGCGACAGCATCTGCAGGTCCTGGCAGTACAGCTTGCAGGTTGCTCAGAGCTTCCTGGCGAAGTGCACTTCCGGCGTTCGTTGCTGACTCTTGTCATCAAGGTCTTGCAGCGCTGAAGTCGCAATCTATAGGTCTACAGCGCACTTTTCCCCTCTCTGCCAAGCTCGCTTTCCGACTTGATTGCTACGCCCCCTATTCTCGCTGCAAGGCTCGGACCTCTCTTTTGAAGGCCCTGGCTGCTTTCTTCACGTTCGTCTTGTCGTTCCAGTAATGCGAAACACCGGACGGATGCGGAAATGTCAGAAATCGTGTTTGGCCCCTTGTCTCAACCTTCAGAAGTGCCTTGGAGACCCCAAAAGCACGAGCCACCGCGGTCCCAAGCAAAAGCACAGAGCGATACTTTGTCAGCTTGAGCCTCGAGGCAGCGTCCTTGGCATGCTCCATTGGGAAGACATCCCCGTCTGAGGCATGCAACTTATAGCCCTTGGACACGTCGTGCTTGGCAGACCTCCCCTTGAGGCCGGGGTACCAAGAGAGCAAATTGGCGCGATCGAAGTGCTGCCATAGTTGGGCCACATCGACTCCTGCAAGCCTTGCCAATCTCTGCTCCGCTGGCCCCGCCAAAGGCCGCCAGCCCCTTGGTAAGGATTTACGAGGGCCAGGTGGAGCTTGGCCCAGTATCAAACCTCTTGCCGCGTTGCATTCGCTTACAACCTGTGGCTTCTTGACCGCTCTGTGCTTCGTTTGCTGTGCAAGCTTGACCAAGCTCTTTTTGATCCTTTGAGGTTTCGAGGGCTTGTAGGGCCTGTCGGCCTGGCCTGCTTTCCTGCCATTGCCTGACCGCGTCTGCACCATCTTCCCCATCTTTGGGGTACAAGTCTCGAATATTTTTGAGCCTTGCAATGCCGCAAGTCCATGCCCAAGTCAGGTGGCCCACCCTTGCCATGACAGAGTGTATTGTGGATCATTGAGTGAACGCCGCTTCTCTGAAAAGTGCAAGCATCCCAAACTTTGGTTTTCGTCTTCTTACGCAGACTCACAGCCTACCCAGCGATTGTGAAAGCTCTGCTCTGACCGCCGGAACCAGGAAGGTCTCAGAACTGCTGTGCTGCGGACTCTCGCTGGCTGCGCTGGCCTTGGAGGAAGGCACTCTTTGACACGAAGTTTATGAGCTACGCCGGCGGCACTGCTTCGGAACACATGGTAGTACTAACATGAAGATGTGTGCCTGGCCACTGGAACCTCACTGTCAGAAAACTACAAGCAACAACAGGAGGGCGTTCTACTGTTGGCTCAATACGGCAAAGAGAAACCTTTTGTATGGAATGGGCAGAGCCTTTTCAAGCAGCGGAACTCAAACCGCCCCAAACTGCTTTGGCCGGGAAAGGATTCTCTTATCCAGCTCTCTGCATTCTACAACATGATTCAGTTCGACTGTCGACTGTAAAACTTACGACGACCACAAGATCCAGACAAGGGTCGAAATGCGATGTCTGAGCGGCGAGAATGTCTTCAAGTCCTCTGGGAGGTTGCCTCGCAAAGGCCATGCGGTGCTCTGTGCGCGGGGGGACCTGAATCCTAAACCTTGTTAAGCCGCAATACTGAGCCCCAAAATCCCAACTCAAACCCCTATAAGCTCTGTGAAACCCGCGGGTCGGTTTGCTTGGGCTTTCAAATCAAAACCTCTACGTTGTTCCTTTCATGTTCGTAGGAAAACCTTTCTACCTCTATATGTTGGTGAAACCCGCAAATTTCTCTCTTCTTCTTCTTCTCCTCCTCCTCGCTTAAGAGGACCCCCGGTGAGGGGTCCCCGGCCGCGACGACCAAGCGGTTTGTGGTTCGGTGAGGGGCCTCGATCCCTCTCTCTCTCTCTCTTTCTCTCGGCGCTTTGTGGAGAAGCTCTGATTTCTCGACATGTTCAGGGCTCCGCAAAGGAAGTTTCCTGCGCAACGCCACGATGGAAGCGCTTGCACAAGCCTGTCTTCACAACCACACCACAGGGAGTTGGAGCAGGATAATTGACCTCAGGCTGAACCATCCCCAAGATCTCCGGGGGAGGGCGCTCTAGTCTCGCCCAAGACCTGGCAGTGCCAAACTGGCCGCCCGTGCGCCACTGTGGCAGTATCCTCCTCTAGGTCCTCCTGTTGTGTGACCTGACTGCTCTCGGGCTCCGCAGCCTGCCAGCCAAGCCCTAGCCCTGGCAAGTCTTGGGAAGTGGCGTGCTGGTCCACGTCTTGTGTTGTAAAGGCTGGAGGACCTGTCTCCGAGTCCAGCGTGGCGTCCAGCATCGCCTGCAGCGTGGACGGCCCTGTCTGCCAGGAGTCGGGGCGCGCCATGACGCTCGAGCGCAGGCCTTGCCCACGCAGGTAGGCCTCCTTCGCCTCTTGCGTCTCCGGGCCCGGGGACTGGACTAGCGGCTCTGTGTTACGTCTCAGCTCTTCCTCCATCCCGCGGAAGGAGAGCTACGCATAAGAGAGATACATACAAGTGGTGCCCTAGAGCCTCTGTAAACCCTAGACCTAAACCTTTAAACCCTCCAAACCCTTTCAAACTCACTTTTGTGGCTGCTTTTTTTTAGCTCTGTACAGCACGGAAGCCTGGCTCTCGAGAAGCAAAGAGCGAAGAAAAAGAAAACAAAACATCTCTGAAATTCAAAGATACTTGCCAGGCTATCAAGCCAGGCTGTCCATCTTTCAACCAGCCACGCCACTTCAAAAAAAAAAGGCAAGTGCAACTGCGACATCAAGATCTCCGGCCAGCTTTCGGAGACACGCCAAGGCCCAAAGTATCCCACACAGTGGACAAGTGGAGCAGTGGAGCAGTGGAGCAGTGGACCTGGGTTGAACCTCTGACTCCACGATGCTCCATTCAACCCCGATGCTAGGGCAGAGCAGCGCCCTCGTCCCTGATTCAAGACATTTTGGGTTGGCAAGGACAGGGTGCTTCAGAAACAGCTTAGGGGTTTCTCCTTGATGGGGTTGTTGGTGTTGCCTTGGAAGCGGACCAGAGATGATTGATGCATGGTGCAAATCGTTCCGATAGCTCCCTGGAAACGAAAAGCTTCCGGCCAAGAAGTTGCACACATTTGCACTGTGTCACGCAATCGAGCACTTCAAAGCCCTGTGCAAAGGCACGGGTATTTTCAACTCGACCGAAAGGTTTTGGATGGTCTTGAATATTTTTTGTACGGCTTAGTAAAACGGCAAGAAGGTGATGCAAGCGACCACAGGAACTGCGTCAACGCACAAAGCATCGAGCCTGCGAAAGTGCAGCCAGCCATTTCCTCAGCTGCCAGGCTATTGCAACTTGCTTGGAATCAAAAAATCGCTGCTAAACAACTCATGAAATAATGCATCACGGCGTATTTCGTGCTGCTCAGGCACGTCGGCAGAACTCCAAGCCGTGGTGAAGAAGGACAGCCATCCTTGAGAGAAGCAGAGACCCGGGAAACTGGGTCCCCTTTTCCGGGAGGGGTCGAAGACGAAACTCGAAATTTGAAGACGAAATTCGGCCCAGGCGTAATTAGGCCCTGAAGACGAAATTCGGGCCTGAAGACGAAATTTGGCTCCTGAAGACGAAATTCGGCCCGGAAGCCTAAATTCAGCCCTGAAGCCGAAATTCGGCCCTGAAGCCGAAATTCGGCCGCGAAGACGAAATTTGGCTCCTGAAGCCGAAATTCGGCTCTGAAGCCGAAATTCGGCCCCTGAAGACGAAATTCGGCCCTGAAGTTCGTCTTCGCCACCCCCGGAAAAGGGGACCCAGTTTCGCGGGTCAATGCTTGAGAGTGTGAAGTTGCATGCGCTCGAGTGTACACGCGTGGTGTACGTAGTAGCAAGGTGTCACATTCGAGAAGTCTGATTTGTGGTGGATCAGAGTGGCAGCCTGAAGCATAAATGGCGCGAGTGGGGTCAGTTCCCTAGCGCAGTCAAGAGCGCGCTGTCCATTTCAGCACACTGGATTGCTTCGAACTGCGGTCATGCTGTCGCCATTAACGTAACTGCATAGCTACTGAGAGTCTTGCACTGCATCATCTCACCCGTTATTCCATTTCGCCCAGCGGCAATACAGAACCGCCAATGGCGCCAACCTGCAACCAGTCTCCGGCGAAGAAGGGGAGAGTCAAAAGCACCTGTGCAAAATGGCTTCTATCCCTCTCTCAAGCGCATTGAAACCATAAAACGGCTACATGATGTCGCCACTATCTGGATATCAGAATAAAGAAATCTCTTCTTCTGAGCTGCCAGGGGGCGAAGCAGAAGGCGATAGGGAGCGCCAGCATCAGGCAGCACACCTCGTGAGGGCTTTGGAATGTTTTGGAGTTGTGGAGACAAATCCTGCCAACAACTGCTTCAGCTTCATCGCCATGATCTTATGCTGCCTCGCCCTAAATCTGTGCTTCGCAGCTAACAACGCACAAGATGCTCTCTCTCTCTCTCTCTAAAAAGAAGGCGAAGCAAGGCTTCCACTACTTAACAGCACCGCTTCGGGGGAACAGATTTGCACAAGCCACATGCCGATTCTCTGACCCTTCCCGGCCTTAAATGAGCATGGCACCCGGAAGGGGCCTTGGAGTTTTTCGGGGACACGGGGGAAAGATTCCCGACACGGAGCCTCTGACATTTTTTGGAACTTCAGTCATGAAGGGGTACAGATGCTCAAGCTGCCACGCGTCACATTGCAAAACATCTCGCATCAGTTTGCAAACGTGACAGCAAACACTGCAACTTAGGGCAAAGCGTGCCATGTCATTGTGCCTTCCTTGGCTGTGACACCCCGGACTTTGTTGCCAATTCCAAGCTGAGAGAAACTTTTTGCAGCTGAAAATCTTCTGAGGTGCAGAAATGCCGAGAACTCCAGAACCTTCTCACAGGCGTGTGTGGCATGGATCGCATGATAGCACGTGCAAACCCACGACATTTCTGCTATCATACAGCACGGCTGGACTGCTTCTTGAGAGAATCAAGGTTGGTGCGCGGTGCACGCGCAAGCGCCTGGGCAATGCAGTAGACAGCGTTTAAGACGTTGATGATGGCGCTGAAGCTTGATGAGGAGCTGAGCACCTGGAGAAGTTTTGAGGTTGCATGCCTCCCGCAACATGGCAGATTTAGAAGATGTGGAACATGTTCCCAGTGGTAGAAGACAGCTCAGTTGCTTCTGGTTCTGGCCTCTGTACTCGGAAATCCAGGTTGTGGCTTATCGACTCCTCGTAGCTCTGGGCAGCAGCGAAATGTTGTAGTTGAGGATGTTTTGACACAGAAGGCATGTTCTGTGACAGCACGACGTAGCAAGAATACCAGCACATCATCAAAATAAGCAGATCAGGCTGTCGTTGTTGCAGTGTTGAGTATCTGGAAAACCATGGGAAGATTGAAGTGCGCTGGTCTGCTGTCATGGCAGCACTCTGCAGAGCAAATGACTAGACTTCGCTGTAAGCTTGATTGGATAGAGCTACGCTCAAGAGGGACATGGGAAGAGATCGGTGGTGAGGGCAAAGCTTGGCACAAACACTTTCGAAGAATTGCCTCGCCACACTGCGACAACTTTGCAAGAGTGTACTGCACCTCCCAGGCACACAAGTATTGCCTTCGGCTGGGCTTGGGGGTCGCAAGCGAGATTCAGCAGGATCCGGTTCTTCTTCACCCCTCCCCAACCTCACCCCAAACGCAAAATTTCCCCCCCCCCCCCCCCCCGCCCCCCTGTGGGCCCCTTATACAGAGACCACGCCAGCACGAAAACGCCAAAATCGTCTGGGACTATCTGCCCTGAAAAACCACCCTCTGGGACCACCCCTGAAACCCTGACCCCCCGTGTCTAAACCTCCTACCTCCTGAACTCATGACGTGGGTGGTGCTGCAGAGCGTTCTGAGTCGGACCCGGCATGATCTTCGGCACAAATAATCACGTCCGCAGAGCTCTGCCTTGGGTGCCTTGGGCAGTGTGTCCCCTCCGCAACCTGCACCCCTCATTGGCCGGCACGGCTGCCGACGCGGCGCGCGCAAGCGTTTACAATTAAGGTTTAGGCTTTAAACGGACAGAAAGAGTTTACGCAAGGGGAACAGTCTGAGAGACATCACGGCATGAGGCTGCAGGATACTGCAACCCAGCCTTATCATGAATTGCGCCGCGTCATCCGGAACAACTAGGGCTGGCACCAATACCAGGACGGCAATCAAGAACAAGCCAACCGAAGGCGTGTCATAGCGCGACCGACGTGCGAAGAAGCTTGGCAACCATCCATCTTCTGCCATACCTGACAATGGACTACAACCGGCCAGGCTGTTCGTGTGACACACCTGAAACCGTGACCAAAACAGCCTTTTCGAAGCCTCAACCAGCACTGAAGCTGTAGCGCTCCTTGAAGCTGAAAAGCTCCTTCGGCCATTTCGGATAATTGCTGTGCAAGACAGCTGACAGCAGCACCAGCAATCACCCATGACCTTGCTGGCAGCTGGTTACTGCTGACATCATGGATCATGATGGATCATGTACATGCAATGTGGCCGCAATCAACATTGGGCTGTAGAGCGCTAGTAAAGATCTTCCCGTACTTTTTTGTCAAAAATGAACAACTGAAACTGCTTTGCAGGATCAATGAGTTTGGCCCCCTTTGCAGCGGCAAAAACGACGGAGAATACAAGCAAAACATCTGAAGCTGCTCAACAGTTTCAATGAGTGATAGTGAGTGTGCTCGTGAATCGTTTGAGGCTTAGAGTCTGCGCCTCTGGAATGTGCAGAGAAGGGTGCACCAAAAACTTCAGCTGCTTTCGTTCTGACATGTCCTGTGAGTCTTCGCACATGGCAGCTGTGCCAGCGTTATCGGGTGGCCCCCTACGCTGTCTTGACTGGGAGCCATAGGCCTCGAAGCAGAAACCTCCACCGAGTACGGAGGGCGAGGTTCTCGCTTCTTTGGCAGAACTTTTTTCAGCTCGTCACTGGGCCGACATCCCGGAGCATACGATCGCTCTGGCATTCCGGAGCACGCTGAAGTCCTAGCCCTTTAAACCTAGGCTCAGGGGTTTGGGATAGAGGGCTAAGATAGCTTTAAAAAAGTCTAAAGGGGTTCCGGGGACTAGAGGTTCAGGGGGTTAAGGGGTTTAAGGCTCAGGGGTTTAGGGGTTTGGGGTTGCTTTGGGTTTTGGTGTTTAAGGGTTTTGGGGTTCGGGTATGAGGGTTCGGGGTTTTGGGGCTTTGCGGCAAGGTGAAGGTTGAGAGGGGGCTTGGCCTAAGCCCAAACTATAGTAGGGGTGTAGAGGGTTCAGGGATCGAGGGGATCTTGGATTCAAGGGTCCGGGAACCGTTTACTTAAAAAGTGACAGAATCAGCTTCGAATGTTCAGGGTGGGGAGGTTGCACACTGAAGAGCGTGCAACATTACGACAACTGCATGCAAAAATCTCAAAGAAAGTTGCAAAGTGCCTGACAAAACTTGAGCTATCAGGCTACTAGGCCGACTGGGCTTCTGGCTTCACAAACGGTCCACCCAGCTGCCCGCCCACTTGCGCCAGTTCACCTGATTTCCAGTCTTTCCAATGAGCTGCTGGCCCAGGAATGCCGAGCCCGACTAACCTTGGGTCAGGGAGCTGACTTTGCCATATTTTTCCTAGCACTTTTCAACTGCAGCAACTTGCGCGTGGCTGCTTCGTTTCATTTATTGAGTCGCACGAAGCGCCCTTTGCTGCTTCACCCAGTACGTTGGCGCCAGAGCACAATGGTAGAAGGTACGACAGCACCACAGCAACCAAAGCCATGGCCAAGGCTTTTGGGTATGTTCGCTCCGCGTCCTGCACTTCGCCGGCAAGCGTTGAAGCCGAATCCCAGTAGTTGAGATTCCAGAAAAGGACATTCCTGAGATTCGATTGCACGCGATTGTTAAGGGCATAGCGTCACTGCTGAGTACAGCCATTAGACGTCATTGTTCGGGCAGCTCTCCGGGCGACTTCTTGGGGATTGCAGAGAGAAGCACCAACATGCACCAACACACCCACGCGGCCACGCCACTTAAGGGGAGGGGGGGAAGGTCGGATTTTGGTTCAACTGAAAATGAAGGGTTTACGAATCACGGATCACGGATTGACATTCGGCGTTTGTGCTGTCATGCAGCAGAAAGCCTGACCAGTCCACTTCCGAAGCCTCGACAGAGAAAACCAGGTGCTCACGTGTTGCATGTGGCGAGCAGCTGCAAATCATGTTACGGCATGATTGGAATGACATGTCGTACGTTCAAGATCAGACTATATACTATAAGCAATACTTGGCATGTGATAGAACGCAAAAGCGAGCGGCGGGCGGGCATACCAGCAGCTTAGATGGTTCAACCTGCGGAGTGCCGACCACCACCATGAAGACGAAGGGGGAGAGAACGAATCCTTCAGGGCTCGAAAACTATAAGGATTCCGATTCAAAGAGAGTGCGATGCTTGCTTCAAATTGAACTTGTCAAACTCACGATTACAGCCCGGAACGGCCTGCCAAAGCAAATGCCTGAGTATGCTTTCAAGGCTTACAATCGGCTTCAACACTAATAGAGCACAGACTAGTCTTCTAAAGCACAAATTAGAGCTGAAAAGGAATCGGCGCGTTGACCTTTCCTGACATTGTTGGCAATTCGGCGATCATAGTCTGATCCGACGTGCAAGACTCGGAGGTTGCAACCGAGTAGCCACCCAGCCGACGATACTCAATCCAACATAGTTCAAGGCAGTAATGGCAACGGTAAGCAGGGCGATGAAGACATGGCCCACTATACCTGATCCAATCTCAGGCCAGATTGTGATCAAGTAATCCCGAAAGAGCACTGGGTACAGCGAGGCGTCGGCAACCTTAAGATCAAAATCTCCAGGAAAGTGTGATTGTCAGGACTCATTCGGCTACCGAGGCTTCCACAGTGTGACAGAGTGTGACTATCGGCAATCCAAGGATCTGCGCTTACCCAAGACAGAAAGCCTTCCACGAAGCCCCAGAAAGGGCCAAAAGCAGCTGTCACCCACTCCTAAGCAGCGTATCCAATAGTGTATCAAGCCACATCGAAACGAGTCAAGGGTATGGAAGAATAGAGAAAGGGCCAGACCTATGCGAGCCTTACAGATGTGCATTCATTTATGCACACGTAGGGCCAAGTGCCGCAAGCTTCCACAAAGCCAGCGTTGCTCGGAAAACAGGTTGCCAGCTCAGCAGTCACCAGCGCTTCCGGAACGGACCAAACCAAAGGCATAACGAGAAAGCCTGTCACAAGCCACAGCGAGTCGAGTCAGCACTTTGCTTGAATCAGCGTGACGCATGACATTGTCTGTCCGGCCTGTGAGTGACAACAAAGGACCGGCCGAGGACACGGCATCCTGCATTAGTGCATTATTATGCCACCTGTCCGTCTAAAGATGCTTGCGGGCCGCAAAACTTGAGGGCCGGAGGCAGGGAGAAGCAAGAGCAAAGTTGCATGAGAAAGTGTGGGCAGGGACCTGTTGGAGGCATGCTTGAGGGGTCTCCATGTTGGGTAGATACTAGCTTCTTGCAATCAACTAGCTCGTTGCAATCAACACATGACTAGTGGGCGGCGACGCATGTTGTGCTGGGAGCCTGACTCACGCACTGCGGTCAACACGCGACGGAGTCAGGTCTTGACGTAAAACCCCCCCCCCCCTTCAGGTATTGATATATCAATTCCCCCCCCCCCCCCCTCCAAAAACCAAGGAATTCGTGTGATATATCAATCAATTTACCCCCCCCCCCCCCCTCCCCCCCCTAATAAGATAGTATCAATAATACGCTGTTTTCTGGCCGTGGTCGGCCCCCTACTGCTAAAGCAGATAAAACTCCAGCTCCGCTACGCGAGCTTTCGTGACTATGCAATTTGGGACCTCCTGCCAAGTTGGGCTCAGGCAGAAGGATCTGTTTTTGCCGAACTTGCTTGGGTCTGCTCTCAAAGAAGTAACCTCCGGGCTCGCTTGAGTCCAGTGCATGAACGTGCATTGATGTGCTTCGTGCGACATGATGTTGATTGACCCTTGGGTCGGCAGGCCGGCAGAGGTGTGCGAGCACGGGCACCTGAGGTCTCTTGCGCTGACGCGTTCCGCTCCACCATGTGTGAGCATTGAGCAATTCATTCCAGAACCTCTTGTTCGATTCGGGGTGCGGTGGCTTTCCACATCAGTCTTCTATTTGGCCGGCTACCCCTGCATGTCGCAGCTGACTCAACGCCTTGTTAGATTCGTGCTGCAAATTAAGGAAGCCTCTCTATGAAAGACGACTAGCGAACATCAAGACGGCGTCAGTCCTCGACACCGTAGGGTCCTCCTGAAACAGAGTAGTAGATAATTGCTGCGAGCCCGAATAGCGAGAGCCTGGCGAGCAAGTCTTTGCTGATGTGCAAGTTAATGCGAACAGAAGCCCAGCCTCTGATGCCTCTGCTGTTCTGGAAAGCTGGGCATTCGAGCCGCGCAGATCAGCTCCAGTGACGTCCATTGCTGTCCACTGGGAAATCAAAAAACAAACACCGACAAGCAAACCGGCCAGCAGTTCCTGTTGATGCCCCCCGGTCAGAGCGAAGTTTAGAAGTCTACGTAGAAGTCTGCACAGCTACCACACTTGTACCTCGTTTGAGTGCTCGTCGATGAGCTTCATTGTGCATCGAAGTTGCCGCAACTTACGGGAAATCTCTTTGGGCCTGTTGGGCGTCTTTGCGTATGTTACGTAGGTTTCCAAAGCATCCTGGAAAGCATGGTTCCCGATGTCGGACCATGTTTTGTGCAGGAGTGCGGGCTGGGCGGAATGCCGTGGTGTGACGCTCTAAGCGACCCATGGGTGGCTGAGCTGTGAACCATGGTGGCATCAAGGGTGGCATCAGGGGTGGTCAGATGTGGTCAATCACGCATGTTGCATGTTGGCGCAGCGTAGCAATGACCAAGCCACCTCTTTGTAGTTGGCGATAATGATGAGGTGCTGAACATCATCCTGTGATGGCGGTGAAAAACCCGCGCATCCATCCTGCAGCTCATGCAACGTCCTCATGCAGCTCCACAGTCTCCGTCTGCAACTCGAGCGCCATCTTCCGGACACCAAGCAGGCAAAGAATTCCTCTGCAGCTCATTCCAATGCCTGAGTGGCACAGTTTGGTGGGGGCGATGCCACTGGGTCTCTGGGAAATGTGTGCTTAGTGAGGAATCTCTGCACAACGCACTTGAGGGTATGTGACAGCTCATGCCGCAGTGCAAGAATACACTCTGAACAGAATTGCCGAGCCAAGCGCACAGGCTAGCATTCAAAATTGCCTTGGCACAAACCAGGAGAACTACAGAACGGAGGTCTGGCCACAGAAGAGCACACCTGACAAGATCTCGAATTTCTAGAGACATAATGACATAAGCAACTCAGCTTCGAACGCAAATTGTCAGCCTAAGATGTGCATGATTCTGCTGGTCACTCTTTGAACATACCACTACATGGTACTCCGCTTCAACATGACTTGCAGCACGCAATTGCATCATTGCGCCCGGTTTCACCTCTCGCATGCGGCCCGCGTGGCAGTACTCGTAATATATAGCTTGTGGTACTTGTGGCACTCACGGCAGCTGTACTTGGGTTTGTTCGATAATTGGGGGCGGGGGGGGGGGGGGTGGGCGACAGGTGTTGGGATTAGGGTATGTTTCGGGGTATGTTTCGGTGTATGTTTCGCGGGTATGTTTCGGGGGTATGTTTCGGGGTATGTTTCGCGGGTGTGCAACCCGTATCTTAAACCTGAGCCCCCCAAAACGAACAAACACAAATATCATGACCAAGCGCAGCCCGAAGGCTTTGTTTGAAAATATTGACAGGCCAAGGCTTTCCAGAGGCTTTGGGAGGCCAGCTCGGGAAGGGGGGCAAAAGACATTAGACGGGTACGCAGTGTACGGCTCAACCAACCACCATCACCACTACCACCACCAATGACAACGACCACGACGACGACCAGCACCACTACCACCACCAACACGACGACGACAAAACCTAACAATGCCAACAATAACCGTAACCGTCATCATAAGGAGGGGGGGGTCCGGGACTGTGGGCGGGAGCGCGGGTTGCATTGGCGTGCGGAGCGCACAGGATCGTGGCAGGTGCTCTCGTGCCGAGTGTGCTAGTTAGAAGAGATAGCATCATCCAGGCATGGTGGGTTCACAGGTGTGTGTGCTTTTGTTGGCGACAAGAACCAGATGCCTTCCATGTATTTCTACGATTGCCATGCATTTCCCATTGTACCGGCACTGGCTGAACCTGGCACTCAGTTGAACTCAGTTGAAGTTGCTGACTCACACGTGGCTCACACGTGATCCAAGCCGCAGCAGTCTCGTTGACAACACGAAGCCAAGGGCCGCAAGGAAAGTGACCTGGCAGCATCTTCGTCTGAGAGCAGGGATCTGGCAGCAGTTGATGTTAAGCTAAGGCCCGGGCAAACAGAAAGAATAGCAAAGGAAACAATCGGGCCTTATGCAGCGCGGTTCTTGTGCAGCGCGGTTTTGAGACGAACCCCTTCTCCACCACTCATGTGACATACGATGCTTTCTGAATGATCAGTTCGGGATGTTCGGGAATTGCCAGGCCCGGGCAAATGTAGCTGCACGGCGGCGCTCGTGGATGTTGGCTTTGTGAAACGAATAGAGGGTGTCCGCCTTGAAGCACTCGTGCCAGTGCATGTCGTCTGCGCCAACCCTTGACTGCGAATGTCTGAGAAGCGGACATTGCTACAAGCATGCCATCCTCTTTCAAAGTCGCCGGACATGAGCGGCCAAGGATAGAACGAGACAGATTGCTGAATGTGCCTGGTGTGCGTTGTAATTAACTGACGCGAAAGTCGGTCTAAGCCATAAGTCGGGATTCAAAGTGTGATTGCTAAGCAAGTTCTGCCGGTGAAGTCTTCTGTCTAGGTTCAACCGCCACCGACCCTGGGTTCAACATTGTTCCTATTTCTGTAGAAATGTTTATAGTCGGTGTAAGCTACAGACGCACATGGTGTCCAGTGGCATCCAAGAATTGCCGAGGCCACGCAATGCATGCGGTGGCTCGTCAAAGCCAAATGCATCCCTTGCATCGCAAGGACGTCACACAAGGGCAACTGCAAGCCCTTTGTCAGCTGCGCAGACGAATGTCACCAGCTCGTGGGCAGGAAGTACTACTCGCCCTCAGGGGATGTGCAGGAATGCCGCACCGCAAGATGGGGTTCTTCTGCGCAATTCTGCACTACATGTAGGGTTATATAGGATTTGCAGGTGTGGTTCCCAGCGCCTTCATTGTATGGATCCGGCTTGGCTGCCAAGCCGAGCTCTTGCAGCAGCTGTAAAACAGCTGGCCGCAATATGGTGCCACCTTTCCGCGCTAGGATGGTGTGTGCATGCGTGTGCTGAGTCTAGGCCGCCCTGGATCCTTTGTCTTTACATCGTTTGCCAGCAAGCCCAGTGATTTCGAAAAGCTGGCCTTCAGAATGCGCACCACGCCCAGTAACGATGACAAGACCTCGGTCACAGGACACTGTGCCAGGATTTGCAGGCCCATGCAGATCACTGGCCGGCAGAGCACAAGAGGCGAGCAGCAGTCATCACTCACGCTTCTGCACATCAGATGTTGTTGTAGACTCTAGATCCTACGGTCTGTGAAGCTCAATGACCAGCCACCCAGTGCAGAAGACGGCGCACTGGACTGTGACTTTGATCAAGAACATCGATGAACATCGAGGAGGCTCTCCAAGCCACGGATATGCTACGATTTGATTCTGGTAAGGAGTTTAAGTAGTTTAAGTCTCGAGACCCCAGGAAGGCAGCATCCCGGGCTTCAGCATCGTGACATCCAAGAGGGCGCAGCAAACTGCCAGGCGGGCCTCAACATGAGGCTCCCTGCGTATGGCAATGTACATGGCTTCGCATGTCGTATTCGCCTAGAGGGGTCCATCGTACTGGTGGGGTCCGTTGAGTTGATGCATGTTGATGCCCTCGTTGCCTCTTCAGGCTGGAGGCCGTGAAGGTCCAGGTGCCCGAAGCGGCGGCCCGGCAGCCATCCGCCCCCTGCATTGCAACTGCCAAGCCGGGATCCACGAAGCGGGCGTTCCCTGTACCAAGCCTGTTGAGACATGCTGGTGACATGCTGTGACAATGCTGTAGCATGCTGTGATATGTTGTGACTGTGCAATGGAAAGAGCGGCTGAGCTTAGCCCAAGCTCTGCTGTACAACAGCCTAAACACATCCAAGCCGCCAGTGCTTTTCCCAAGTCGCCCCAAAAGACATGGCTGGTCATACCTGCCGCTTGAAAGACATCGTCCAGCTCCATTCCAGAATCCTTCGGGTCAAGAGCGTGTCATGACATGCCATGACATTTCTTCAGCATTGTTGCTTAGGAGGAGTATTCGCATGTCCTCAATACCCGTACCAGTATCAGTACAGAACGCAATCACCATTTCTAGTTCAATCCCCGTGCCTCCATCATTCCAAGCATCTGGAGCACCTGGGGCCATTTGCTTGCCTTCTGGCATGCTGACACCACTACCGCGAGGGTGAGCCTGAGATGGCGTGGCAATGGCATAACTTCACAAGTCATAACTTCCTAACGTCTTCATCTCCGAAACAAACGCAGGGAGAGCCTGGGGTGCCGGGTACAACCGAAGGCATATATATATATATATGTACAAGGCCCAATTTTAGCCCAACCGCAGAATTTGCAACTCCCATGATGAAACGCACGACCTTTTTGTACTTGCACTTTGGTCATGCCTTTTCCCCTAACGACGGGGTCCTTTCAAAATGGGCACAACATGAACAAGCAATAGAGTTACGACGACATGACCAGGGGACATATTTGACAAACATGCCTGCCAAGTTGGCTGTTGCCACCCCTTGATGTTTCAAGAGCTGAGGAGACGGCTGGCTCAGCTGCAGTCCTGCGGGTTACGCAGCTGCAGCTGTGAAACTGTGAACGCTATCATATGATTCACGGGGGTCCAGCATGGGAGGCTTCGGCTAGGCACTGCAGACAACTTTGCCAGGACGATGTTTGCTCGAAGACCCGGCTCAACGCGTTGAAGGTGCCATCGAGCATGCGCAACTTCCTCGGGGCGACGTCCAACAAAAGCGATCAGCCATCAAGATTCAGGATATCAACAACATCAGTCACAAGACCGAAGCCGTTGAAGTTCGCCAGACCCGGTTACTTGCAACAAGTTTAACAGGAGCTTGGCCACCTCTGCTTCATCTGCAGTTGCAGCTCCAAGACGAACTCCCAGTGACTCGCACGGAAGCAAGCATCCATCACGGTGTTGTAGGAGATTGAATCTGGTTGCCTTCGGCCAAGCGGAGGAAGAGTCGTGAATGTCCCGTTTCAGACACTTGGGATATCTTGGGATGGGCGCCTGATGGACTTGGACAGCATGGTTAAGGACTCTTCCCACTGCCAAGTCTGAGCAAAGGCCGCCAGGACGGTATTGACCTCCGGTACCAGGTCTTGGTGCAATCCATAGGGAAGGCAGAACATGATTTCACTTCCGGATCTGCTCTAGCTAGAACTCAGGCCGTCCAAAAAAACAGCAAGCCTTCGAAGTCAAAGCACTGACTGCTGCACTTCAAGCTGGGACTCCCACCCACACCTACAGCTATAGTCGTTAGCTGCTAGTCCCTGCACGTCCCTGCCATGATGATGTCCGGCTTCAGGTAGCGCTGGGTATCACTGTAGATCGCCAGCGCGACCTGCCATCGACCGCCTGAGCAGCAGAAGAAAGATGAAGAGAGGTAAGATGAGGTCCGGGTAAGAGTGACGAAGGTTCTAAGGTGCGGAAAAACTGATCGCAACTACATACCACAGAAAATGTCAGCGAAGCATGGCATGTCCTCGTGCAACAGCTGCGGCTACGGCGTTGAGAAGCACCAGGTCTGGCTGCATGCTGTGACGTGAAGTCTCCTGACAAGCCCCATTGCGTATGTGCGAAAAACTGGTGGCCTCACCAACCGCACTACGCCACGCCTGCAGGAGCTCCAGCGCTTGGCCCCAAAGCTGACCGTGACCACAAGCCTGCAGAAAATTGCAGAAAGCGCGTTTGTGGGGATCTGATGTAAAAAAACATATTCTGTGTGACCCTGCGACCATGCAGCCTCCACAGCTGCGGCAAACGTGACCAGCGTCGGCCGCAGTTGCCGCGTCGTCATAATGGGAAGAAGCGCCAAAGCTCCCTGTCATGGATACGTGAGAAGGGGCCCTCTGATGTAAAGCAAAAGGGCTATGCGCCTGCCATTGGCTGCCTTTCTTGCAGGCTGTGATCGCAGCATTCCAGGCAATGACGTCAGGCACAACCAATTGGATCTCCATGCCGTGAAGAAGGAGCAAAGCTGCCTGAAAAACATATAAAAACAATGTGCAACATGTGCGTACATCTGTATCCGTACTGTACAAGACACAGCGACATTCCTTTCATGTCAGACCTGCCACTTCTGCGCTGCCCCACATGCGCTGATTGCCGAGCTTGCCACCTTGAGGTTGAGTCCTCGACTCCGAACGCTGAATATTCTGAATCTGACTTGCGCAGGACTCAGGCCCAAGAAGATCCAACTATCCGCGGTTGGTGCCTTGCTTGGAGTCCAGAAGCGCCAGCACCGCCTGCCACTGAGCACGCCGGCTGCATGCAGCTGCAGCAGAGCCGTATGCAGACTCCATCCTGCCGGTAAGCTCTTTGGACCACAAAACGTTTAGTGCAGTGCTCAGAGCGGCACCTAATGCTGCGAACGTGCATGTCAGAGAGAAGCCATATGCACCACTCCTGAATTGCTTGCACATAAACATGTAAAGAGAAATGAATCCATGCGTGCATGCATTTGAGCGGACTCATCACCGCAGCCACGCAGCCCAGTGCAATCTCTTGCGAAACGATTCCATGGTACTGCTGTATGTTTGCCGGTTCGGCCTCGTGGCACCAAAAGTAAGTACATCCACAAAGCCCTCGACTGAGAAAGGGTCGCTGCACATGCGCACAAAGCACAAAAGGAGCTCACTTTCAGCTCCGCGTCGTGTGGGCGCACATCTAGGCATCCGACGGCCCGTGTTGGACATTCGCCCACGGGCCATTTGACACGGCCCTCGTCAGCCTTAGAAGGGGTCAGTGTGCACTCTCTTAGCGGCACTGCCGTGCAGCGTCGATCCTTGCAAGCCTCATCTCCCAAACTCAACCATTTGTGCTTCAAATGTCAGTACCGAGATTGCCTGTCAGGCACCAAACGCGACCAGACCAGAGCCTTAATTTTGAAGCTGGGCAGCCGATGCAGCCGGGACTGGGCTTTGCGGGGCCACATTGCGCACAGTGTGGCCGAACTGCACACCTGCATGCGCTCTGCATGCCATGGCTGCAGGGCTTCACGAGGCTGTTTCCATGGCAATCCATGGCCAGAGCCGGTGGAAGCCGCAGGTCAGAGAAATCACTGCCAAACGGGAACCGATGTGTTCATACACATCATGGCCACATACCGTCCGTGCAGAATGTCGAGGTCTTTTGAAGCATCAATCGTAGGGGCGTATACCTTCATTTGCCACGGCCGGCTCTCGGCCGGCTCTCTGCGGGCTAGGGGCGACTTTGGCCTTGCGAAACAGGATGATGCATTGGTATGCACACCTCTCTAGGTGGCCGCAGAGTTCCTGGACAAGCCGCACGAGCTCAGTGCGATATTTCAGAATTTCAGAACATTTTCAGAACGTGTCAGAAGTCCAACTTCTTGAACATCCAGGCATCCTCATCAAGTCGGTCAACCTGACGCAAAAGGCATCATCAGGGCTCGGCTTGAAAGACGCGTCTGACCATGTCTGACGATCTTTTCATGCGCCTCACGACGCAGTTCTGCCATAATGCCCTCCATGACCTCACCAGATCGAGAGCCGTCATGATTTCCGGATGATGCGCAAGCTCATTGCAGGATTCCAGGATTGGAAGACAAAACAGTCGCACTCCAATGGCATGGGCCAGGGATAGAATCTTGGACGGTCACTGAAATGTCAATGTCATGCAGCTTTGCCTTTTGTTTGAACTTGCGGTCGCGCTCGGATTCTTCATTGCGCGTCTCTCGGACACCTGAATCTAGCAAAGGAACAACCTTTCTCGTGGTGCTGACAATTGAGATTCCGGCCAGCTTGCAGCCTTGGGTGTACCGTGCATGTCCACATATATATAGGATGCCAATGCCAGCTATAATATTAATATCAGCTAATCAGCGCATGTACTCGTGAAGCCAATCACGGCCTGGACATGCGCACATTACCGTGTGATGAGAAACCGAATAAATCACACCACGAATGACTACGAGGCCTGCCCCTTCAACATTTCTGAAATTGCTTGTTGTTTATACTTAGATGTACAGCGGCGCGTGCCGATTGTGTTGCAAAGGCCCACGCTGCCACGTGATCAAACTTTGACCCACTTCGGATGCAACACCCTAACCAGAACTTTCCCCGGCCCTGTGAGATCTGCGTGGAGGTTCCAAAACCCCTCTGCAACCCTTCCTGGGACAGCCCCCTAGAGCCGGCCCCACCCCTCCCAAAGGACCACTGCCCCACGTTGGGCCAGCTGCCAAGGCGGCGCGCACAACGCCGCCGAGGCCGCTGCCGCCTCGGTACCCTTGCCGAGGCGGCCTCGCGTTAGCGATAAAATTACTTGGGGGTGAGGGCCTGGGACGAAAGCTAGTTAAGGTACCCCCACGGAAGGGCTTCTGTCAACAGGGCATCCACTACGCATCAGGACAAGCATACGCAAAGGCATGAGGCCGTCACCTTTTTCCCGCGAGCATCATGAGCAACATTGGGAGTCGGTTTAGCATCTTCCGGAGGGCTCTTTTTTGAAGCGCATCACACCACAACAGATGTTGCACTCACCAGGCGAAGTCTGAAGTCTGTCCAATCCAGCTTTGAGGGACGCCAGACTCAAATCAACATCAAAGCTTCTGTGTCTTTTCTTGGGGGACTTGGGGGGCTTTTCTAGGGCCTTGGATCCACAGAAAACGGCGTTCATTTGCACCCAATATACGAAAGAAATGAACGCCAGCCCGTTTCCCCAAAACCTGTGTTCGCCACCCGGAAACCGACTGGGTTTGCTGCGTTTCGTGGCGGAGCCTCCGGGGGCCCTGTATACCCATCAGGTTGTAAGCTTCGCTTAAGCAAGATACTCCGCTAGCTCCTCAGGGGCTAGCTTTCGTGATATACCCAAACATGTCACAGTAACAAATACTTGCTGCCGCTTGGGGGCTCTTGGCTCTTGACACCACCAAATAAAGCAGACCTGCTTAGTCCGTGAAAAGCATCTTCGAGTCTTTGAAACCACAGGCCAATGATTGAAGCCTTTGATTGGGCCCGTCTCGCACTTGAGAAGTTCCAAAAGGCAGTAGTGGTACCCTTAGGTATTCGTAGCGAACATTGCCACCTGGCTTTTGACTGACCGGCCACACCAGGACGAACAGGGCAAGCGTCATCACGGCAGAGTTTACGAAAGCAGGGCCGTGAACAAGACTCCTGTGTTACTTGCATGTTGCAAAGCAGCCTCACCAAAAATGTGAACCTGTGCATTTTGCAATGCAAATGCTGCATCAACCATGTACATGTGATGCTGTGCGGTAGCCTGATGCGACATGTTCGTGGAGCTACATCTTGCGGCTGCCCTTCAACGTTCTTGTGACTGCACAGCTGGGATTGTCCCGAAGCTTTGCAGATATACACGGGCGTTTGTGCTCAAGGTGCAGCAACATCGCGCAGCGCCTTCTGGGTACAGAGTAAAGCAGGCCTTCTTTGGCTTATAAGGTCTTCTCTGAGTCTCTGACCCCCCACTCCTGAAGACCGTATAAGCCGCATTACTCCATGTTCAGAGCCATGCGACCCGCGCGCACTGGCTCCACTCCAGCTTGGCCATGCCACACGGCCTAGAGATACATAGCAACACAATGAATCAGCACGTAAGCACTCTTGAGGCTGCCAGCGATCTTTGGGCAACTGCAGGGTATGGGCTTTTCTCTGCCCTCAGATCCACGCCACCAGCCGCACCAGAAGCAGCAGCATCGAAATGGAAGACTGGCCTGCAATGCAAACAACAACAGCCTCAGACTGTGTCTAGTGAGAGTCTGCATCCTGTGAACACCATGAGCAAAGGAGCCCACATTCGGCCCTGGTCAGCCCTGAATCCCCATGGCGTTGGCATCGTGCGATGTAGCCAAAGGCCCTGTGTGATATAACTTCAAATGCTGGCGTTGGGCTTGGTGCACTGGTCGCTGGTGGCTTTCAGCATTTGCGGCCGCGGCAGAAACACTGCGATGAATGAAGCTGATTCTAAGCTGTTCCCCAGTAGACTAGCGCGCAGTTTTCGCCTGATCACTGCCAGACTCGATTAGCACCAGGCTCCTGCTTTAGCAGATGCCGGATCACAGCAACAGGCGACATCGTGTGTGTCCAGACCTCATCATGCACATGCACTTGTCTGTGCAAGCGTTTCCATGCACGGTGGCAATGCCTGGATGGAACACTTGCAGTAAGAATTAAATTGGACCAGGATGAAAGCACATTGACGAGCATCTGCCTTGATTACAAGCAGCATTACCGTGCATCATCATGTTTAGAGACTTAGAGCTCTCACCCGTGTCTGAGAAATATCCAGCTTCATCCTTGAGGATGAGCCAATCTAGTGAAGAAGTCAGGACCTGGTGTCGGTCGCCTCACTCTGTTCAGTTGCACGCTTCGATGCTCCATCAAGCTCTGTCAGCTCTGTCGCCGGCGAAAAGCTCATGAGGCCTGACTTGAATGTGCAGGCATTGCATACATACCAGACATACCAGCAGACACTGGATCTCCACAGTGCGAGACTACCTGTCCACACTCCTCGAGTCAGGAGCACAAGTAAGGGATACTTGAAGAGCAGACAGAATCACACAGTGCAGTCGATGGAACGCAGGAACGCCTCAACGCAAGCCAGGACAACACATAATTAGGCACGTGAGGCGCACAGGTCGAGCAATGAAACAGGCAGGAGCATGCAAGAGGTAGAAAAAGGAACAACAGACAACACAATAACATGAACAGACAGCGATGCATCGGCAAATGGATGCAACAGAAGGAACTGCTTTAGCCGATTCTGCATATATGGGCAGAAGCGGAAACAGGGTAGCATCACGACTCAGATGCCCAAAAGGATACACGTGGCCGACAGACAACAGAATGCGAGTGGCATCTGACAAGGAGTAGTAACAGTAGGTTCCTACACTAATCCTACAGAATGTCCAGTTCTAAGACATCCACTCAGACGCTTTGGCTAGGCCTGGTCCAATGCTGGAATGCCCGGCGATGAGCAGTGTGTCCCGCTCACAGTCGTGGTGCCTCTCAGGAGACTAATGTTCCAAAGGTTTCTAGTCCAACGGATATCATGATCAAAACCAAACTAAATTCACTGCACCCCCACCTTGTGTCTGAATGCTTGACGGCAACAGCAAGCAGCGAGGCACCGCGGTCATGTGCATTACTCTCATTTTATGGTGCGCCTGGTCAAGTTTTTACTTGTGGTTTCGACCTTTGGTAGCACATGGGGTGAAGGACGAGTCGGAGAAACGAGTCGACAACGATGGGGACCAATTCAGAAAACGAAGAAGACCGAGTCAAATACGGCAAGGTGTGAGTCAGAAAACGTCTGGGGCACGAGTCAGAAACAAAGAGCAGTCAGTCAGAAAACGGGGCAGAACAGCCCCCCACGGTGATTAGGAGCACGTACCGGCTCACAGCTTTCGGATCAGCGTGTCCCGAGTCGCATCCGACCACAGCAGCACGAATCAGATCAAGCGAGGCCATGTACGAAGTGGCCCGGCGTGATGGCCGTATCGGATCACACTTGCAGGATGGCCCCTTCTTCCCTGTCAGGCATTCATCTTGTTTGAACTGGGAGGACATTCTTCGCAACGGCATGGGGTGACCCCAAAAGAGCAGATGACCTAAGTGCGAACCCAGAAGAAACGGTCATGGGAATCCCTAAGCCCCAAAAGGAGATGTTGCATTCGGAGACCCATAAACCCTAGGCCCTATAAGGACATGTTGGTTGCCAAACCCTAAACTGGCCGCCCACTGAGCATCCGCCAAGCATGAGCAGCAGCCACTAGCCGCTGCCGGCTTACTTTCATTCGGCGTCACTGATGTTCGGAAATATGCATTGAAAGAATGCACTCTGAGCTGTCATTTAAATTGCGTCTATACTGAAATGGACTTGCAACCCTTCCGCTTGGGGGCCCAAGATTTTCGCAATGTTTCCGCGACAGGAACTCAGTCATGCGCGTGTAGGTCCTAAATAAGCGCCTAAAACGTCGCAGCACTGGTGGGAGTTTCTCAGGAATGTACCGTAGCTGCGTTGAGCACCTTGGGCCTCACAAGTTTCCAAGCCCCAAGGCGCCAAGATAGGCCAAGCACACAGCTACACGATACCACATGCCAAACCCGTCCAAGACACCTTGCAAACTTAAGAAGTAGAAGAACATTGCAGTCCCCGTCCCCAGGACCAACCAACCTCAGAATGTCGGCAAGGCTCCAATCTCAAACATCCAAGCTTTTGCCCCATCTATCCAAGATCCAAGATGCTTCAAGCACCTCATGGCCCCACCCTTTCAAGATTCCAAATCACTACAACTCACTGCGGAGAGGAACTACATGGGCTCAAGACTCAGCGTTGAAGGCTTTTGGGTTGGCGCTTCAAAGGCTGCGGGCCCCAAGGGCCTCGTGCCAAAAGACACCCAGGCCCAAATCTCCCAAGAGAATAAGACATCCATGGGCTGGAAGTCATAAGTTAAAGAAGTCCTATCTTATCCAGCGCTGAACCCCCCGCCTAGATAAGATCCGAGCAAGTATAGTATAGTCACCTTATCTGTATCCCCAGCTATAATCTGCCTAGAACCTCCACCATGTGACCTTGAGATATCGTGAGGTACGGCCAAGGCCAAATTGTTGTTGTTTTGCACTCTGGCATAGGACCGGACAGGGGACTTGTTCTTACACCATCTGGTGTTTCGGGCTCAATGCTCTTCTTATTCTTTGTTGGAGTGATTGCCATTTAGGCCCCTGCAGTCTCTGCTTGTAAAGTACAGCTCAGCTACAGCCCGGCTCGTGCTTGTTGTGTCATGCCGATCCATCACGGGCACGAGCTTCGTGTGTGGAACATGTTTAGAACTTCGCCTCCCTTGGCATGCACTTCAATGCACTTCGATGAAGGGAGGCTGTACACCACACGGACTGACCTGGCCTGCACATCGCAGTGGGGTGAAATCCGCGAGGCAGGTGGGTCCTCCATTGCCTGGAGAATGAACTGGGGCAACATGGGGCAACTGCGTTCTTGATATACAAAGCACCGTGAAAGCTCTGCCTGAGCAAGCGCGCGTCGGCTTGAACACTCCAGGCTTCCAGCAGCCCAGAAGACAGGAGGATCCACAGCAAGCCACCTGCTCTGGGCAAGGAGTGAGAACGGCCCGACTACGCCACAGTAGATTTGACTAGATATATTCGCCTCGGCTTCGGCTGCGAGGCGAAAGATGTTCACAAAAACCCCCTGATCCATCCCCTCTACATATATTCGAATCCCTAATTTTGCCTCGCTTTTTTGCAAAGTTTTGGTTGCACCAGGTCTTTTTTGGTGACCAAAGTTTTCGGGACCACCCCCCTCAGCCCCCACCACCCCAGGGGGGTTTGGTGGGCGACTCGCAGCGCTAAAACATGCCAAAAACTACCCACTTTTGGAGACTTTCTCAGAATGGAGGAGCAGTTTAGGCCCGGACTGGAACTGCAGGCTTCTGCAGGTGCAGTAGAACTATACGGGCTGCAGAACACAGGGTGATTGCTTGTCTCTGCTCCGAGCCTTCAATGTGAAATGCTGCCAAGTGCGTCGGCTCGCCATGGCCACCTTGTTGTGCCAAGTCCACGCGGACATCGCTCCTCCAAGTTGCCTGAGACCAAGACTTCGGGCTTCAAAGTGACATATCGAACGCTTGCAAATGCTTGCAGCTGATCATGTGCCAAATCAGGCTTTGGCCGAAAGCGTGCTGCGCGTGCTGGGCACAGGGACTTTCACATGAAGCACTTGCAGGCACTCTTCTCGTCCTCGAGAGGAACCGGTTTCAGATTCTACGCACAAACGCTCGCAGATGGAGCTACGCTGTGCTATGGGTCCCAACGTCCTTCTTGCTGTTGTGGCTCTTGCCGTTGCTTTTGCAGCGTGCAGGGGGAGCAGCCTTCCACGACCAGGGCGAGGCAACGTTCACCTCGGTCATTCCTCAGTCAAGAAACACAAGAGGTGAGGACAGAAAAAACAGCGAAAGCATGTTGACCTTGTTAGAGGTGCCAATTCCTGGCACACAGATCGCAACGTTTGCCTGGCAGGCCTGGCAGACTGCATTATCAGTCCGACTGCTCACAGAGACTGTTTTTGTTTCACAACTTCTTCGGTACCGTATGACATGGCTGCGAGCGTGTTGCTCGCTTCGCGCTTGGCTTCTGCAGCAAGGGCATCGGCGAGCGTGTTTACAAGCCGAGCTGACTCGCTGCTGGCAGACAAGCGCTCTCTTCTCTGCCAGTTTGTACAAACATGGGAAATCTCACTTGCAAGACTTCCCCCCGGGCGGCGAAGACCGTCGCTGAACAGCTTCTTCAAAGCATTCAGGAGGTTGCTGCACGCCTGGCGTCCTCTTTGCTCTCTGCCTCCGTCGCTGCTCACGGCAGTGCGTAGCAGGTCAGACAGGCTCTTCAAAAGAAGCACGATGCCGGCATTGTCTGGCAAGCTTTGTGCCATGTGCCTATGCTTCCAGCTCTGACAGACTCTTGCAACTTCGCTCTTGAATTCGGCTCTACATGAATTTTGACTGACTAGCTCGTCTAGAGACGTCAGCAAGTCAATGCACGCTGCACTTTGCAAACAAGATCGCCCATCTCTGCTTTCACCACCCTGGCCATGATCTGGCGGGGCATGCGGGGCGAATGGTAGAGCTGCTTCCAGAACCGGTTCTTCTGGGCCCAGCTCACCATTTGCCTTGGTTTGAAAAGCTGACGCGGTTCCACATATTCCCAAGCGCGTCTGCCACGTCTCCTCGATTTGCTGACGCAGGACTGCGAAAGTGTGCCTGCCCAAAGGCATGCTGTTCTGCTGCTGCTTCAGCACCAAACTTTGCACAATGTCTGCCAAATCTTGCAGTAGGACAGCCCCTTCCGAATTCGGGGAGAGGCCGCGAGCTGATAGGCTTCTCGCCCTCCAGCTTGTGCAAAGGTTCTTGATATCCCTAACAAAAGTCTGCTGATGCCGATCAAATAACCTCTCCAAGTCGTCCAACAATTCATATCTAACAAACTCAGCATAAGCCACATCATCAGATGCTTCAGCTTGACGCAGTGTTCTTGCAAGCTGCTCTGCAAGCTCCGCTGCCTCAGAGGGTTAAGTGCGAAAGCAGGGGAAACCCACGCGATCCCACAGATGCACTATTGTCTGTTACCATCTGCTACCGCAATTCTCTCGCAAATGCACTCGCACTGCTCCCGTCATGACCTTGTAAACATTTGTAAACCCTTGACGCAGACGACCCATGTCGGCCCAATCCGGCTCTCAAGCCCTGCCTCATGGATGACCACTTGCACGGTACGTGGATTTGAAGTCATTGGGCTTGCAGATCTTTGCTCTGTGGGATTGGTGGGCTCCACGTCGGGCCCAATCCGCGTGAACTCCACTGGAGCCACCTGAGAGCTGCGCGTGCTCCGACTGCCCTGGCCGCTCTGGCCATAGGTCCAAAAGGTGTACACGCCCATAGCGGAGCAGAGCAAGCCCGCGGCGAATCCCCCCAGAACTGATGGTGCCGCTCCAGCTTGCACAGGAGCTCCTGCCAGCGCTTGCATTGAGGAGGGTTCTGAGCTCATTGTAAAGGCGGCAGTAGTGGTCGTGCTCACAGATAAAGAAGTCCATGTTCGGCTCGAACTTCGAGTTGAGCTGGACGTGAAAGTAGAACTGGAAGAAGAAGACAGACTTTCGGACGAACTGCTTGAACTTCTTGTGGAAGTGACAGTCCGCGTCTCCGTGGAGCTCGAAGTCATAGTTGTGGATGTCGACGAGAATGTTCGGCTAGAAGTTGCACTGGAACTAGAGGTGGAGGAACTGGTTGTTGTACTTGAAGAGGTCGAAGACAGTGTCTGGGTTAAGCTGGATGTAGCGCTTGAAGTGGAAGAACTACTGGACGTGCGTGTGGAAGTGGAAGACAGAGATTTTGTGGAAGTGGACGTCGTTGTTGATGTGCTCCTGGTCACGGAGGTGGACGAAGATGTTCTGCTGGAGGTCCGGGTGAAACTGGAAGTGGAGGAGATACTTGTTGTAGAGCTGAATGTCGCAGTTGTGGACGTGGAGGAACTGCTGGATGAGCGTGTGGAGGTGGAAGTCAGCGTATTTGTGGAGCTGGACGTCGTTGTTGATGTGGATGTGCTCCTGGTCACGGAGGAGGACGAAGATGTTCTGCTGGAGGTTCGAGTGGAACTAGAGGTGGAGGAACTACTTGATGTTTGCGAAGATGTTGAAGACAGCGTCTTTGTTGAACTCAAGGTCGTAGATGATGTGGGCGTGTGAGTGGATGAAGATGTTGTGCTTGAGGTTCGGGTTGACGTGGGTGAGCTGCTTGACGTCTTTGTATAAGTGGAGGACATAGTCTCCGACGAACTTGAGGTTGTGGTGGATGAGGATGTGCTTGTGGATACTGAGGAGGATGAAGATGTTCTGCTGGAGGATCGAGTGGAACTGGACGTGGAGGAACTGCTTGCCGAAGAGCTGGAAGTCGTACTTGTGTATGTGGCGGAGGAACTACTTGACGTGCGTGTGGAAGTGGATGACATCGACTTTGTGGAACTGGATGTTGCTGTTGATGTGGACGTGCTCCTGGTCTGGGAGGTGGACGAAGATGTTCTGCTGGAGGTTCGAGTGAAGCTAGAAGTGGAGGAACTACTTGTTGTAGAGCTCGATGTTGTGGCTGTGGAGGTGGATGAACTACTTGACGTGCGTGTAGATGTGGAAGACAGAGATTCTGTGGAAGTGGACGTCGTGGTTGATGTGGATGTGGACCTGGTCGTGGAGGTGGACGAAGATGTTCTGCTGGAGGTCCTAGAAGTGGAAACGCTACTTGTTGTAGTGCTCGACGTTGTAGTTGAAGAGGTGCTGGAGGAACTACTTGACGTGCTTGCGGAAGTAGAAGTAGACGACATCGATTTTGTGGAGCTGGACGTCGTTGTTGATGTGGATGTGCTCCTGGTCACGGAAGAGGACGAGGACGTTCTGCTGGAGGTTCGGGTGAAGCTAGAAGTGGAGGAGCTACTTGTGGTGGAGCTCAATGTCGCAGTTCTTGATGTGGAAGAACTGCTTGATGAGCGTGTGGACGTGGAAGTCGGCGTATTTGTGGAGCTGGCAGTTGTGGTTGATGTGGATGTGCTGGTGGTTGTGGAGGTGGATGAAGATGTCCCGCTGGAGGTTGTGGACTTCGAGGAACTACTTGTTGTAGAGCTCGACGTCGTAGTTGCAGACGTGGAGGAACTGCTTGACGTGCGTGAGGAAGTAGAAGACTCCGTCTTTGTGGAGCTGAACGTTGTGGTTGTTGTAGATGTGCTCGTGGTTGCTGAGGTGGAAGAAGATGTTTGGCTGGAGCTTCGAGTGGAACTGGACGTGGAGGTCATACTCGATGTTCTTGTGGACGTGGAAGTGAGCGTCTTCGTTGAGCTCGAGGTCGTAGTCGATGTGGAGCTGGAAGACGTCCTTGTAGCTGTGCTTGTTCTAGTATTTGTTCTGGAGCTCGAGGAGCGCGTGCTTGAGAATGAAATTGAAGAACTGCTGGTCGTGCTTGATGTCGATGTTGAAGTTGCAGTTGTCGAGGTAGTTGTTGTGCAGGCATCCACGTCAGGAATAGAGATATTGATTTCACCCGTGTCTGTGACACCTGCTATTGTGAGGACTGTTCGATCACCGACCTCGAAGTCTGAGGAGAGATTGACAATGTTGTTCAGGGCCATTGGCAACTCCACAGCAGAGGTTGGATTTGAGCCATAGAGGTCCTCAGCAAAATAGATTCTCCATGATTTCAGGTATGTGAAATCTGCATCAGCAGGAAGATCAAATGAAACACTCCCACCCAGAAAGCCGCAGCGAGGATCAGTGTCCGCAAACACGACATCCTGCTGCTCGAAGGGAAGAGTGGAGAACGACCCGCCTCGGTCGTAGATTGGAATTATGGCAGAGGGTGCTATCTCGGACACCGCTTGCCAATTTCCGGAGATGATGGTGTGAACTTGCAAGTAGCGAGGCAATGTCATGCCAGGTATCGGGATGGCTGCCTCTCGCGGTGTATCTGCCAATGTGAAATTGGTGTAGGTGTAGGACAGCGTTCCACCAAATCCTGGATGATTGAGCTCTCTGAAAGCCGTCAGGGTGCCAGGAGTTGGTTCAGTTGAGGCATCCGCTGTGATCAGAAACTTATATCCATCAACGTCGGTCATATCCGAGGGGTGTGTCCAACTGATTGGTCCCGCTAGCGTCTCATAGTCGCCACTGGTATCAGTGAAAACCACATCAGTAACCCCACGGTACGTAGCTTCAGCAACTATTTCCATTGAGAGCTGAAGCAATAGCTCCAACAAATACCAGCAAGCCATCTTCAGTGATTTGCAAGCACCGGCAGCCCTCACCAAAGCTTGCCATGCCAAAGGCGTCACATGGCCTGTAGCTGCTTCATGACGAGCCTGTGTCCAGCTGTGCAAGTCTGTAAGAAACTGTCGCCTAATCCTGTGATCCTCGACATTAACAAGCTTTCACCTGATTTCATTCTCATTATAATTCATCGTGTAAAATTCCACCTGCAAGCCTGACACACGTCATAGCATGTTCGCAAGCGGCAGTTGCTTGGCAAATGTACCATCTAGGCCGATACTTCCAGGAAGACTTTCCCAGATATCCACGTGCGTCAACCGGAGTCGTGGCCGACGCAGAGAGGAAGTTGAAAGACTGACCCCAACATAGAACCCGCAAAACGAATTAGGGAGAAACTCTGGAAGCAACCGTTGAGCTGCTACTGCATGAAGCCAAGCCGCGGCAAGATCGGCAAGGAATCCCAGGCACAATTGGCGAGAGGCTGCAATTCTCCAGACAAACGTCCTCTCGCAGGCGGTCTGCACAGCACAGAGCGCAGGGTCCCGCAGGCATGGAAAGGATTGCATCGGAAATGAATCACAGCTAAGGCAACACTCTCCCCGTGTCTGTGCCGGGCATTTATGTGTCAAGTCGCTGTGCACAGAGTGAACCTGCGAAAGGATTGTGCAAAAAACTCAACAAGTCCTGTGCTGCAAGGAAGCTGGAGCCTCCCAACTTGCAGCTCCGGTATGCTCTCGAGATCTCTCGAGTATCGCAAGTTCAACACGCAATGCTGGATCTCGAAAACATGTCGAACAAAATGTCCAGCCTGCTTGCCCCAAACATGAGACTGCCCGAGAGCCGCCGGGCGGCCAGGCAGCCGATGTTTGAACCGCAGAACCTGAAACTGCAATCCCTGCCATGTGTGTTGTTCATCAAATTACTTAAAGTGCTGATCACCTCCGGGCTAACTTCTTGTCTGGGATTCGGGCAGGATGACCTATGCGGAGAACTTGTTTGATTCGACACCGGGTTTGTGCAAGACGCCCTGATTCAGAATGATCAGCAGATGCGCCGAACCAAGCTTTGAGCACGCTTTGGTGCTTCTTGGTGCTACACATTGTGCGTCAACTCCAACTGAGGTGTCTTTACTGTCTTTACCAACACGACCTTCCGAAGCCTCAACTGCAAGTGCAGGAATGAACGTCTGCTTTGTCGTATGCTGCCAAAAACATGCCTGGTCACGGTCAGTGCTGTCACAGTCAGTAAAGTACTTCCTCTACACATGATATCCGCGTGCCCTGGAAGTCCACCCACTATGTTGCGTGTTAGTCAGACTTCTGCTTGGGCACAATTCCTCCTCGAATGTGGTCTCTTGAACGGAGGAGTTGTGCAGAGCATAGTGAGCCTTAATCAAGAGACAGGCAGCATGTTCTGTCTGTGTACACTACCAATGTTCGTTTCAAGCCACATGCGCCTTTGATTCCTTGGCCGATGCCTTGGCCAAGTGCGGAACTAAGCGCTCGGCGAATGGCGTGCTTACCTGAGCGTGCGAGGCATTGGCGACAAAAGCGCAAAAAGGGCCAGAAGTGCCCACATATATGGTTCCGTGAACCGTGTCGGTACCCCCCCCCCCCAACCCTCCCCACCCCTAAACCCTTAACCCTAAACCCGAAACCCGAAAGCCTAAACCCTAAACCCTCAACCCAAACCCCAACGGCACCACCCCACAGGGGGCCCAAACCACAGGGGGGCGGGGACCCTAAACCCTAAACCCTAAACCCTAAATCCTAAATCCTAAACCCTCAACCCAAACCCCAACCACACCACCCCACAGGGGGGCCCAAACCACAGGGGGGCGGGGACCCTAAACCCTAAACCCTAAATCCTAAACCCTAAACCCTCAACCCAAACCCCAACCACACCACCCCACAGGGGGGCCCAAACCACAGGGGGGCGGGGCGGGGAAAGAATTTGGGGGGTGGGGGGGGGGGGGGACCATGGGGAGGGTGGGGGGGGCAGCGACGCTGCACCATATATACCCCGCCATGCAGTAGGGTATTTGACCGTCCAGCATGTGACAAACGCGCGAGGACTGTACATGAGCACTTATACTTACGTTAACTAAGTCGCATCGAACTATTTGCACAATGATGAGCGACAACATGTCGAACTCAGGTCGTGACAAGAATTGGGCCTTGCCTCCATTCACGTGCGTGCTCGCAGGGGATGCACTTCACGGCCTCCAAGCTTTTTGCTTTGAATGAACTGGCTGCCTGCTGTGTGTGTGCGCTCAACAAAAGGTGGAGTTTAGCGTGAAGGGATCTCCAAGCCAGGCCAGAAGGCGCATAGAAACCCAACACAATTGACAATCACCGACCTGCCAGTATTGCAGAGGGCTACGGAAGGACTCCTTACAGAACAGGTCGGGCTGGGCCGTCGAAGCGCTGTGTTTACAAATAAGAACAGTATGAGACCGGCATGAAGCGTAGCGTGGGACTTTCTTACAGTCCAAGTTTGTGCCTCGATGCGGAGGAATGCCCCATATGGCCAGTCAATCTTCAACTCCTCCTTTGCGTGTCTTGCAGAGGAAACATGGAGATTCTGACTACAGGAGGCAGTTACTGTAGTGGATTCTCTCAGCAGCTGCGGCTGAAAGCTGCGGGGTAGATGGCATGTGACAGCAAACGGCATAAGCTGAGATGCATTGAGGGGCAAGACGGCGCAGGGCAATACGATACGCAGTGCAGAGTCGTGCAATACGGCCACCCTCTCCAGCACGCCACCGACTTCCTGCAGCCTCCTCTCTTCCACAATGTATGACACCTGGGGACCAGGTGCTGAAAAAAAGCGCTGAAAGCCCATCATGCCTGAAGGGCCTGGCCCTGACGAACCCGAGGAAGGACGTTGAAAGCCCTGACTACAAGCACGCTACACAGAAAAAACACGAATCCTGGGTCCAAGTTGGGCTCATTGGGTGTGAGTTATACACAATGGGTGCCCAATTCACCTAGTCCTCAGCTCCGGCCGATCTCAGCAGTATCTGGGAGGTTCTATGACCTTTTTCCCTCCCCCGTGTCAAGAACGTGTCTCGCATCGCGCTGACTTGGGATTGACTGAAGAACCTTGCAGGATGCCGCCTGGTGGTCGAACAGCAGCGCGCTAGACTCGCGCATGGCTGCCGTGACGCCCACACCTAAAATGGAGGCAGCATGAGGCAACCATCGCTTGCATAATACGCTAGATGCACGGCGCCAATGAATATGGTGTCTGGCCAAAATTGCTAAGCTGCGTGATGGACCTGTCGCATGTTCACACACCTCTCAGGCAAGAAGCCCAGCCAAATGATCTGGATTGTCCGCGTGAGGCAACTCACTGCTCGCCATGGCAGGCGAACTGGTTTGTAAAGCTCCTCTGCACAGCAAGCTGCGATTTCGATTCACGTAAGAACGCTCTGTTTCAGGGTGTGTTTGTCCTTTGTTTCCCTCGTAGTAAAGGCACCCTTGATTGCAGATGCTCTGGGAGTGGTGTCAGGCTTTGGCTCATCTTCACCTGCAACGGAACGAGCAGAGCGTGTTCGACACCGAAGCTTTGAATGTCTGCAATCGACCAAAAACAACGATAGGAGCAGGAGCAGGCCTCCTGTGTGACCTGTGTGTTTCCCCCTTGTCTTTTCGGCAGGATCTCGAGAGATCCTCGATGTCAGTGACAAAGCACACTAGAGACGGACCGAGACAGAGAAAGCAACAGAACAGCGGCTGATTCTAATTTGCTCGCAGCATATTGAAGTGAGCATACCACTGCTTCACGACAGGCGCCGAGTCATCTGTTATCATCTGTTCTTATGCGCATGGCGCAATACAGTGAAGAGGACCTCGAGGACCCTGTGATACCCTGTGTACAATAGTGGTACAATGAACAGGACTTTGGCTACTGACGGTGAAAAGCCAATTGGGCCTCAAGCAAAGGTAGTGGAAGCCGCATGCTGCCACGTGCTCGCCAAAGCGGCCTTCGGATGTCGTCCATGAGGTGTTGGAACTCCCGCACGGTTTCAGCTGCATCTTCCAGTGTCAATACACGCGCTGATCCTGTCGACGCAACTCACACTAGTTGCAGATTTGCTGCACTGCCTATGAGAATCAAAGCGCACTGCTCTTGAAGTGTACAGAGACACACGGAAGCAAACTGTCTCACAACCTGGGAGATCATGCAGTAACTTGTAGTTGCCATTCGCTGCTGTGTTCTCCTAGGTACTCGGCGCAACAAGCACGGAACAGCTTTAAACTGTGTTGACAGTGGGTGCTGACTGCACCAAGGCTCAATGTCCCAGTAGTAATCTGCGGGCAGTCCAGACGAGTTGATGTAATGGAATGGTCCCAGCACAGTCCCTGGCTGAAGCTCGGAAAGAAAGACCCCGCATGACCCCGTGATTCATCCTGTCCTGCGACACCCTGTACATTCCTCTGCCTGCGCAGTGTTCGAGCCGCTGCTCGGCAGAAGACAGCTCTGGCCATTCCCGCATGCGAGTGATCTGCAGAGCTCCATGCAGATTGTAAGAGCTGCATTCGTAGTTATTGCTGCTCCTCCCCTATGCACTTAAGGTCTTCGGCAAGCATCCTGAATTTCCAGATCGCACTCACAGAGGAGCTCCTGCAAGCCAGCCTCAGCCCAATCAAGGTGCCATGAAGCGAGATGCTGTCAAGCATCGATAGCCCTAGCCAAGTATCCATTTCAAGGCGCAAAAAATCACTGAGCTTCTCCAGTTCTTTTCTCCTTTCACTTCAGCGGCAAAATGCAGGACTTGGACAATGAGTGTGTAGGTAAGGATGTCTGAGGAAAGCCTAATTATAATCTAGGTGAGACTCTGACGCAAAGTGAGCCACACGCCAGGCACTTCTTCCCAACGCCGCATGGCTGCTTGGGCACGGCGGAGTGCTTCATGAACGACCTGAACCTGCACATCACTGCATCACCAAAGAACCGAAAGAGGTTGCGTCTGACCGCGGCAGCCATCATCAGCATATCATCAGCCGTAGCATGGCCTTCTCCACCAGCACCAGCGTGTTTACGACAGAGAACACAGCGCCCTTCTTCGCCATTGCTATTTCTGTGGGGTCTTCAGCTTCTCCAAAAACATCCTCGCCCATGCCATGAGTTACAGCTCAAGCGCCGCTTTATTCGTGAGCACAGAAACAAGCACTGACAGATCATCTCAAGAGCACGAATAAAGAAATGCGCAGAAGGAGAGAGAGGGAATGGAAAACATTTCTTCGCCACCACTCAAAATGCAGCTTAACAATCCGCCGAGCCCGAGTAGATGTCTGGGTAGCACAAAGCAGGCACCCCACCTCTAATCCCCTCCCCACAGCCCACGGCCCCTTCATTTTGCACTTTTTGGCAAACGGTGCATCAGGACCAGGGCACTTCAGCCTGCCCCCCCACCCGCCACCCCACCCACACCACCCCCCCCACACCCCACCCCCCCCCACCCTTCTCCGGTTTGGGTTGCCTCGCTACAGAAGCTCAGGCCGAGGCGGGTCGCGTAGCGAGAAAAATTAATTCACACTGCTCAATCATGTGCAACAACGGTTGCACGGAAGTCTTTTCTCGCATAAGTTATTGCTCTCACTCGGGCGCTTCGATCACTTGAAGCAACTATTTGTCATTGTCTTCAGACAAGCTTCCATGAAAAGAACCGCTCGAAAGTGCCGAGGAATGCTGGATGAATCCGAGGCTGGAGATGCGACCCAGTGCAGCAGCTCAAACCAGGCAATTTCCTCATGAAAATCGCAACCGACAACAGCATGCAGTGCCTCGAGAACCTTTCAAGTGTCTTGCACCTTGCACTGCCTTGCAACGATCTGCACTTGCCCAGGCTCAAGCGGATAAATTGCCACTGAGATTGGATAAGCGCCATTCGGCACCAGTTCTCCATTTTCCCTCTGGGCAAGTGTCAGCGAGACACATGCCGCAACCGCTGGGAGGAAGCCAATGAAGGATAGATCCAAACCCCTGCACAATGTCAGCATCTGACGTCTGTGCTGATTGTTTGCAGCCTTTAGGAATCAAATCTTGCACAGGCAATGCAGCAGATGCGACAGTTGCTGTCATGGTGTGCGACTGAGGGCGGTGCCCAAGACACGGCAGGCCATGGACATCGAGGATCGTGATGTTGGAAGCTAGTGCCTGCAAAGAGGCTCCCTTATCAATTTGATCTGCTCTTCCCGAAGCAGGTCCGTCCTTGGAATTCCTAGTGGCTTGGCGATGCTTGGGGAGGTTGCGTAGCAGTGAGTGGCCGTCCAGTGTCTTGCCAGGGCTTTTTAAGGTCACGGGAATGACCCGAGCCGCGGCCTCGTAGGCGTGACACTGTGTGTAAACAGACCCCGAGATTCGTGGCCCGAATCGGAAGGATTGTTTCTCCCTCTTTGTTTGTCTCCCTGTGGCGTCACGCAAGGCCAGCAGCGTGCCTGGAACACGGCCGTCAGCATGTAACCGACTACAGGGCTGTACATCTGCACCATGCCTGCGAGCAGCGTCAACCAAAAACAGCGCGATCTCAAGATGATAGACTCACGGACAGAGCTGCATGTTGATGGACCAGTGGCTTCCAAACTCTCTGTGGGATAACCGAACATGGACTCACTCGACACTGCAGCATGCCTACTCATGTCTACGCTCCACTTTCGAACTGTTCACACTGCCGTGCACTCTCCAAAGGCTCAAGGCTCCACATCAAGATGCTCGTGCAACCCAGGTACAAAGCCCCAAGAGATAGTAGTTGATTGACTGCAGCATGTGGCGCACCTAAGTGTTGGCGTGCGTGACACTGCAGAAACTCGTAGAACATCCAGCCCTGCTCTCTGCATGTTTTGCTGAATCCCACGCTCCCCCCTGAGACGGGAACTCCCAGGGACATGCAAACTCGGGAGTATGCATCGAAGCATTGCCACCTCAGGAACACCGATGGAACACCGAGAAAAGGAGTCAGTCTGCAAGTGGTCGGCTTTCAGAGCTTGCCGCATTTTTGGCACAAAAGCCTACATTGTCGCTTTCAGCATCCCAGCCAAAGTTCCGGCGGCTGCTTGGGGCCGAGAGGGTGCACTGTGGCTTATTGCCAAAGAGCAACCCACAAAAAAACAAACCCCAAAAGGCCGCCAATAAACCACTAAACCAGACGCTTAGCCCCGAGGCCTTATGGGAGGTAGTGTCGTCAGTGGGCGTCTATTTCAAGGCCCCACCGTTGCTATTGAACGGCCTTCGGCCCCTTGTTCTGTCTGTGAACCTCTATATCTGTGATGGTCGCATGGTGCCCGGCTCCAAGAACTTCTACGTCGTCGAAACACAAAGTACCTCTTTTCGTGCTCTCGTTGTACTCGCGCTTTCACTTATCATCTTTGGTAGGGTTCATAGTGGCCAAGGGAACGAGCCAGATTGTAGATCAAGACAGGTGAATTGCAACTGATAAATACTTTTTGACATTATAACACAGTGCAAATAACAAGTTTACATTAAGCAGCAACATTGTGAGGAATTCTCAGCTGCTCGCAGAAATTGATTTTGGTACGAAACACCAACAAGTAGGCCCCTAAACTCATAAACTGCACCTCCAACAACTTCAAAGGATCCAGAGCACAAACACCACACCCTCTCTTCCTTCCTTCCTGCACGCCTGACCCCTTGAGGGAGCCAGCGTGTGTACTGGGTCTGTGTGAGACCGCAGTGGATGTACACACGCTTTCTCTCTCTCTCTCTCTACCCTCTTTCTCTTCTTCCTCCCGCGGACATGGGCAGCCCCTTCCCCTCGCGCACCCGAGAACTATTGGAGTGGTCGCCTCTTCTTCCTTCCACAGCACTTAACCCCCAGTGGGGGTCGCTCCGAAGAGCATGCTCCAGCAGTGTGGTCGCGCTCTCTCTCTCTCTCTCTTCCGCTCTCTCCCTCCTCGTCGAACTGGTGTGGCTCGGGTCCCGCCTGGCTTGAAGCTGACGGAAGAGCTGCACATGACGCCGCGTCCGGAACTCCACAGCCTGGAGAAGCTCCTGTCATGTCGCAGCATGACACTCGTGATGCTATGTAATTAAGTAAAGTGTACTATTTGTGCACTGCCAGCAGATCGATGACAGAGGCTGTGAAATTTCACGTCTTGAAGCTCGTGGAATCCCGTGGCCCTGGGCATCCTCATGTCCGAGCATGTTGTGCTCGCCGCCATAAGCAAATTCACCGTCCCTTGATGCAATCAGAATAGGGAGAAGCATGTAGATAGCATTGAAACAAAGATGCTAGTAGTGGTCGACATGCTTCTTCCAAGAATCTCAAGCTCGTCCCCAGTAGGCTTGGAGAGGGCTGGTGCATGCGCAGCAGGATCTCTTTCGGCAAGATTACCCTGACAGGGCATCAAACGAGAGGGTATGCCAGTGTCGTGCGGGCATGGCAGATAGAGCATAAAAGCCCGCGATCACAGGCCTGAGGTGGCATCTCTGCTGGAGTGGCACTGCGCTCTTTCCAAGAATTTCTTCCTGCGCAGTCTCAGTTCACTAAATCAAGCTATCAGCCATTGCCCAACTTTTGAGCACCCGCGTCCTGAGTGCAAGAAGGGCACACGAAGCATTTGAGCTGCTTGCGTCTCACAATCAGACAAGTGGGAATTCATCGAGTCCAGCTGATCACAGCCAGGGATGGGCAGCCGGACGAACCTGCATTTCTGCTCACTGCGGCTACTCAATCTCTCACCGACCCGATCCGAAAAACCCTGCATGGACGAATGAAACAAGAAGAGACAGCGACAGCAAGGCAACGCCCCCAACCTGGTCAGAAGCCGCGTTGCATAGCTGTGCGACTTGATCGAGGCGTGCATGGATAGCCAGATTGCCTTATCAGAGAGCCCTGAAAACCTGCTTTCACACATCCAGCCTCGCTGAACTGAACACTGACGTTGTCCTTTAAGCTCTTGGGTTTTTGCTTCATTGCTGGTGTAATGCTGTGATCCAATGTTCAAACACGGTGACAAGCACTGCAGAGGGTAAACAAGGCTTCTCCCGTCGCGTGCATCATGCACTGCACATGTTCGCCACACCCTATCACACCCCCAACTTCGGTCAAGTTGCCATCAACAAGTAGACCAGCGCGCACGCCTGAACGAGATGATGATTTAGACAGGGACACATACAATGCATTCTGTTTGCGTTGCTGGGCGACAAAAGACGTGCCTGTGATAAATAATATGCTGCTTGAAGAAAGATGGGAGGGGCTTCCTCAAAGAAGCCCTCCGAATAGTAGATGCTAATCATACGGATGAACAAAGCGCCTGAATTGTCCACATTGATGGCAAGAGAGCACAGCTACGGCTCAAACTGGCGCAAAGGGCCTAAGGGCCCGGCCAAGCCGCTTTCTCAATCTTCTGCCGAGTAACCGACCATGTGGTAGAGGTCCATCTTTCCCACGGTCAGCTCAACAAGGTCACGAATATCCTGGCGGAACAGGCGGAATCGCTCCACCTGCATCTTGAGTCGAAGCTCATCGCCTTATTCTACATGCCGACGCATCGGTCGCTGAATAATCATACAGCAGTGATACCATGTACTCCTACACCGTGCATCACCGCATCATCGTGTAGCATGGACCCAAGCACGGCAAGGGTCGTCGAAATCGTTGGTCTTGGTCGAACGCGAAGTTTTGCCGATTGTAGCGGAAGATTTCGCCGGCAACGAGGCCGACTCCAAGGAAGACCTGGCCCAGTATCCATTTGCATCAGAACTGCGCTTTGCTGCTTGCGCGCGTCAGCCTGAGTGTGCAAGTCTCGAAATTCCCGCGGCCTCCATTCTTGAGACTCTTTAAAGGCCAATTGGGCCTTTGTGCCCTCGGGCTGCCCTGCCCTTCCGCGGCACTCACGCTCATTCCAGTGAGGCTTTCATAGCCGCTGGAGAGATCTACGAAAGGCACAGGAAACGTGTTGAACACTAGGTCCTGCAGTAAAAAGCCTACGAAAGGCGCTGCAGTGTCATTGAGTCTGCTGGGAACCGTGAACTGAGATCACTGACATCTACACATCCCCTGAACCAAAAAAAACTTCTCACACGCTTGGTCTGCAGACTCTTATGTCAAGTTAAGCAAGTCTGTGGCAAAGCGCATGACCCAACGCTCCACAGAACTCCTCTTCTTAGCAAGGAGATTAAGATGTCTAAAGATTAAAGTGACTGCCCCCACTACTCTTTCTGTCAAATCTGACCTCCAATGAGCTTGTTAATGGCCTCTCCGTCCAGGTATGTCATGGTATGTCCAAATGTCTCTTTGGCCCCGTAGTCTGGAACAACACGGTGGGCAACGGTGGGGACAGGGGAGGATGGCGGGGATGGTGGAAATGATGGTGGGTGTTTTCGAATGGTGGGAATGGTGAGCTAGTGGGTACATGAGTCGGTAGTAGAGAACGGTTGGTACTGGTTGAAAACGGGAATGGCCGGCACATGTTGGCTGGTACCCGCGGGTAAGGGGGCAATGGTGGAAAATGGTGGGGAACGGTAGAGAATGGCGGGAAAGGTGGAATGGGGGAAATGGTGAAAATGGCGCATTTTTGGGCTGGTGGGAGTGGTGCGAAGTTGCGCGTAGTGATGCATGGCAATGGGGAACGGTGAGTAAGGGTGATAGTTGTGGGATATCGAATAATGGGGGGAATGAATGGTGGAAATTGCGGCGGGAAATGGTGGAAATGATGGGTTAGTGCCATTGGAAATACTCTTTCTTGCATGGTGGGTGAACATGGAATGTTGGGAAGGTGTGCGGGGGCGTGTTTCGGTGGGTAGTAATTAGGATGGTGTGTTATGGTGGGTATGGATAGGACTGGCAAGGAATAATGGCGGGGAGGTGGGGAGGGGAGGGGAAAAGAGAGGAGGAGGGATGGAAGGGGGGGGGATACGAAAGACACTCTGAGAATAACGGGGGGCACCTTGAGAGTAAACTGCCTAACTTGGGGGATAAGAATCCCAACAGGTGGAAGAAGAGGAACCGCTGAATGCCCTGAACAAACCCGCAGAATAAATCCCGAACCAGCCCAAGGGACAGTACGGAAAACAACCATCAGAGTAACAATGAATACGCAGCCCTTTTTCTTCTTTTTGCTGGGGAGCGCTACGGTGCTCTGAACACTGTACCACAGCAGGGCTCGAACACGGTCCGCGACACTGGAAAAACTCGCTTTGGAGTTGGCAAACATAGCATTGTGTCACACCGTTGTACACTTCGCACGTTTCGTTGTCGGCGCCGGACGTAGTTGGCACAATTCTGCACGAATGACAAAACAGAAGCGCCCCAACTATCCCAACTAGCCTTTGTCATTACTCAGTAGTCTTGGTAGGGTGTGTGTTCGTGCAAGCTGTAAGCCCTAACTGCGGACGCCGCGCGACCTGAGCATCCGCAGGCTGCGAGAGGCTGATGTCACAAGCGAGACCCCTGATGTCTGGTGCCATCCATGGGAGCTGCGATTGACGGAGTTGGCAGCTAAGCCTGCTAAGCAGTATAAGGTCGGCACGAAGTCGCATACATGCTGCGCAACGTCATCCTGCAACAAGGGGATGTGGGCTCCAGTGCGACAGTGTACGAGTATCCCGCATCTACGCCTCCAGCATTGCCAAAGGCCGTTGGCCTGCCCAGCAAGACGAGTTGGTCTGCCAATTCCGCTTTGTTTCTTTGGAACGCTTCAAGAAGGAGGTTTTTCCATCTGCAAGGTTACCTAGGGATATGCAAGGATGACGCTGGGGGAAACTTTCCCATTACCCGCCTGAAACAGTCCGAGACTGAAGAGCGTCCTACAAGAGCCTACGAGAGAATTCTCCACTCGAACTTGCTGCTGGGCAGATCGATGGCTATCACCGAACGAAAACAAGGCGTTCTAATGTTTCATCTTGGCACTACACCAATGCCTAGTCCTGCCCCATGGGGTGCCTAGGCAATGGTGTGCTCCTCATGGCACAGCGGTACACCGTCACAATTGTGATTCCCAACCCACAGCATTTCACAGCCATCGAAACTTGTGTCGCGCCCTATGTTGCTTCGCTCTCACTGATTCGTAACTTATCGTAACTTCGTGGCGACATTGCCAGCCACAGCGAGCTCGACTGTGAGCTCGGGGATGCAACCCTTCGCATCCCTTTGGCAATAAGGACTCAAACTGGTCCTCGCTGGGACTCACTGATTCGACTTTCGCGACCCACACCCACAAACACCCAGAAACACGCACTCAGAACACTCACCCTCTTTTGGGCAAACTCTTCTGAGAAAGGTTTCCCGGCATTGAAACTTCTGAGCATCAATCGTATCAACATTCTTTCTAAAGAGTCTTCAGCATCAACTTTCGCACTGACATACCGACAATTGGTAGCAGCACCTGCTTCCACAGAAGTCCCTGTGGACTTCCCCGTCGCTCAGTTTCGTTGGGTATGTTCTGTGCTTTCAAAGTGTTTGGCATTAAACGGAAGGCCACGAGAGCTCTCTCCACAGATGCCGTGTCCGCAGTTTATTTTCCCTTCCCTCAGAATCTCTGATGTCCCTCACTTGGCTTCAAAGTGGCATGCGTGAAAGAGGCTGTCTCGGAATGATTTTGCTACATGTTTATCATTGTACCGATTGTACCGCAAGAAGACCTGATAAAATCCTGACAAAGGCTTGCTGGATGATACATCAGGATGCTAATGCTGGCAGAAATTTCATGTAATTACCAGCAGCTACCAGCATGCATACTGCGGGCCTTGGGAGCGAGCTCGTTGGATAATCGTCAAGCGCAGCCTGGCATCTAAGAAGAAGAGCTAGCATAGCTCAGAGAGGCAGTTCACGTGCTTGGGCAGTTCCGCAAGCGCCTGTTTAGCTTCCACTGAAGTGCCGTCAGGCAGGCAGAAGCGGACTCAGAGGTCACGGAAATGTCCTGTACGTACAGCGCTCTGGATTGATTCTGAACTCTCCATCCAGAAAGCAGTGCGCTCAAGAGTGTTCAATGATTCAAGCACGCGCCTGTGGCAGCGCCCGCAACTCAACCTTACTCCAGGCCAACTTGCTGGCCGCTCGTGCCCTTTGCCTATGCTGACTGCTACGCTGCACAGCCTCGCATGTCCTCATGCTCTCAAAAGGCCAAGTCCATGGCGTTGGAATCATTGGACAGCAGAACCACCATGGATGGTTTGACCTCGCTGTCCGAACCGTATGGCGAAGCCGCGTGGAACACGTTTGGCTCTGGTCCGAAGTTCCCGCAAAGCAGACCACCTCAACCATACATCACAGAGGCTACGTGGTTTCATGAGCCGATGGGTGAGGCTATTGCTGGGCTTCCCGTGGCCTTCTCTGCTTTTGCAGTACTGTCGTGCGACTTGCGGTTGTTTTTCCTGATTCCTGCTTCTTTGGCGAAACCTATGCTTTTGCCGACTCACCGGCAATGGGGCCCGATGATCCCAGGACTGCATAGGTTACTTGAACACGTTCACAAAACCTGACTCTACTTGTCATCTATTTTTTGCCTACGCCATCGCGGGCTTTCGCCAGCGCACCTTCAAGATCGCGAATGTCCGGTTAGGTCAAAGCCCACATGATATGCCCCGTGTTCGTTGATCTTCGCACACCATGCTCGGTGGCCCCCATCGATGTCCGATGATTAGCTCCCCCACACATACAGCCAAAAGCAGCCAGGGTGGCCCCCGAGGAGAAGTGCTAAATCATCCCAGAAAGCATCAAGATTTGAACTACACAAGTTGGGTCCGATGCTCACATGACATCACAATACATCACATGTATGCAGCGCATGTTTCTAAACGGTTCCAAGGCGCTGGATCAGCGGCGTAGCCTCCCCTACTTCGCGAGGATCCTCAGATGTACTGGGAGCAACTGGCAAGTGTTGATTCCTTGCATTGCAAATACCGGCTATACCTCAACATCGGTGCTTTTGAGATGCGTAGGCCGATGAGTTCTACCTCCATCCGAACAGTCGGCATTGATGCCGGCATTCGGCAAACATGGGCCAAACGCGCTTCTCTCAAAAGTTCGGCCCATAACGCCTTCCACAAAAAAGGCAAGGGCAATAGCAAGAACACGCGTCAACTCTGAGCCGGGCAGGCCTTGGTCATGTGAAGCGGGTCGGCCATGGAGCAATCCATTTGGCCTCCAGGCCAGGTCTGCTGAAAGAAACACTCTTGAAAAAAAGTCCGGACTGTTCAAGGCACCTCTGTGCGAGTACGCCCGCTGCTGTAGAGAAAGCATGGCATCTGCATCGTTTGCCACATTCGAGCGCAGCTGCTCCATGACCTGCCGGAGTTCTCTGTGGGCATTGGGCACTTGCGACAGCAAAAAAAGAGGCCAAGAAGCTTGTGTTCGGCCTCTGGTCTCCTTCCCCCCTTCCCAACCCTTCCGCCCAACCCGAATACCCGATTTTTGCAGTCCACACCCCCCCCCCTTCTCCGTCTTGTGCGTCCATCCCACACACGTCACAAAGCATGAAGAACGGGGTCTGGGGTGGGACATGGTGGGACCCACTGGGGCGCGACCCTTGACTCCGCTGGCACTCTCCTGGGATGTGATGTGTTTTGGCGCTGCTGTGGCTTTGGCTTCCTTTGGCTTGCGATGTGCACGCTACACGTCCCTAAAAGTGGCGTGCGCCACCGTTTACCACCATGTGCCTTACTGCCTCGCCTCACGGGGCAGCGAGCCGGGAAGCTCGGGGCCAGAGGCCAAGAGGGCCAAGAGGGCCAAGAGGGCCCTCTGAGGGAAAGAGGAAGGAAAAGAAAGATTAGCAGGGGACTGGCTTGTGAGCATTGAAGGAACTGCTCCGTGCCCTTCGACACCTTAAAGGCCCAGTTCAGGGCCGCGCGTGATGCATCACCAGGTCGCCGGCCGGGAGGCGGGCGAGCCGTCAAGCCGAAGCTGCAGCAGGCCGGTTGAAGATACGACGAGAAGGCAACCATAGGAAAGACGGAAAAGGAACACGCCCGGGATCAGAGCAAACACACCTGAGGCTTGGTGTAAAGCTAGTTGTGGGGCTTCGCTGCGTCGCCATGCGTCGCCGCTCTCTTCTCCGGACCTCTCCGGGCCACAGTGGTATACAGGTTACTGGCACGGGCGCGATGGTCCTCATGGCGCCAGGATCAAGGCAGCACTCGAAGACCAAGGATCACAAAACATTCGAAAACTCCTCGAAACCCGAAACATACCAGCATCGATTGCTTCTGAGACGTGTGAGGCTTGAAAGGCTCTCCTCTGTAGTTGAAGGCAAGACAGGGAGCCGAGAATGGCAGATTGCCTCAGAGACGTGTAGCGTTACTTATATGGGCAACGGCTGACTGAGCAGCATTTTGTGTTCGAAGGCAACAGGGAAGCCAGCTGAGATCCGCAGCACTTCGTTTACGGATCTCTGCCAAAGTTGTTTTCTGATCTTGCCTTCAATGCTTCTCGGTTGTACCTGTTTCCTGCTCTACCTTGTCTTCTCTGCCTTCCGTTCTTGGGTGTATTCTGATTAGGGAGCCGCTGCAGCCAGTCCCCCTACCGGGGCGACAGGGGGCAAGCTCGGCATGCAGCACGTTCGATTCCTTCGCTGAAAAAATGCATCCTCTACGAGCATTTGAAAAAGGTCACCCGAGTGGGGTGCCCTTCGCCTCAGCCTCAGTGCCTCAGTGCCTCAGTGAGCCCTACTTTCTACCGACTCCAACTTTCGATGTGTGGATGTCAATGAGTCTCAGGAAGTCATTTTTGCGCATGACATGGTTGACATGGTGGGACTCTGCCATACAAACCTTCGCCTGTCGATGTTGGCGTCTATCCTACACGGCCCGGAGCAGTTTGGGAACATGGCTTTTCAACATCACTGAATGCAAAGCATGGAGCTCTACCCGCAACCTCTTGGCTTTGTTAGGAGCAGACTTTGGTTCCAGGCGAAGGCAGACGATGCGTAGCAATTGAAATTCGCCGACATGGCAGTGTTGTGACACAGAACTCTGCATGCAACGGTCCGGTCCTCACGGAGAGGCGTACCATTTGGCAGCGGCGCAAAGCAGTGCACGGCCTACATCGTGAGGTGGGAGAAAAACTCTAATAGGATGGTTCACTGACCAGCACTGTAGTGTCGCATGAGAGTGGCAACATGTGACAACCATGGCAGCGGTCCTTCTCCAGGAAAGCATCTCCAGAAAAGCGCGGCTGCACCAACTCAGGCAGCCCTGCTGTCCAGCCATTTCTTAGCTGCCTAGCGCACGCATGCAAAAGCTCGTTCGCTAACTTCCAGCGACTGGTGCCCTGAACAACTTCTAGGGAAACATGGCTTGTCAAAGAACAGTATGGCCCGCAGGATTGCACTGCATACGCCTTTTGCCATCATCAGCCAGGAATGCCAGAACCCAGGCGCGATCTGGCCAATTGCAACCACATAGCACCTTCGCTACTAGCAATTACTAGCAGACTAGCACAGGCCACAAGCCGGCGCAAGTGGCGTCTGACATGCTCCCAGACGTGCTCTCTCTGTAAACGTTATCGACTTCAGTGCATCCCCCATCTGCGCCTGCGACTGGCCGCTGCAAAAGCGGCGGACGTGCTGGCGGTCCTCGGCACCGTGCGGCGGCGAGCTTGGCGCTGAACTACTGCGATGCAAGCCTGACCCCATCCTGACCCCTAGCGGCAACCACACCCCTGGCAACACCAACCGATCATGCAGCAACCACCTGGGCTGTAACCGGGAAGAGAGAGGGGTTACGAGGAGGGGCAGGGGGAAGTGTGTCGGATACGTGCCCACTTGTGGGGTTGTGAACGCTTAGCTCTGCTCTTAGTTGTTTCTTGGCGGCAGGGGGGGCTAGGGAAAACATGGCAAACCCAAAAAAACCTAAACCATCACCCCAACGCCTGAAACATCCTTAAGCGCGACAACTTCCCGCAAAAACCCTAAAACCCTAACCCCCCGAGCTCTGAACCCGAAACCCTAAACTCTACCACCCCCTTCTAATCGGCAAGGCCCCAGGCCTAAGGCATTTGGGGCACAAGGACAACCCACCTCCTTTGGCAGCAAGGCAAAGGCACCCATTGTACGCAACCTTCTTGGTCTGTGCGTCAGAGCCAAAATCCCGATTGGACCACCGACCCTCCAAAGTCCCCGATTAACACTTTTATGGAAGAACGACGCTTCTATGGACCCCCTATGGACCCCTGCCTGCCCTGATCTGCCAAAAACCAGCCAGAGGCCGACAGCTAGAAAAGCCGTATCAAGGGGTCGATGAGAAACACTTTCAGAGTTCACAAAATACTGGTTCCTGAAACCAAACTGAGCACAACATTGAATCATGACAAGACAGAGACACTGGAAGGATATGCACATGGTTTGCCTGCAGTGGTTAATGCTTTGCAAAGCGTCAGCCGTCCACCCACTCCGCAGCAAGCCATTTACGAAAGCTTGAGCCTCCTTGGAATCTGCGAGCTGCACGAATGAATGCCTACGACGAATCAGACACACACACACACACGGGGCATGCACGCATGGAAAAGCTGAGGAGCTCCGTGGTGGAGCGGCACCTGACAAAATGCTCTGGTGAACTCCGTGCTTCATATGACAAGTTTGGTATCGGCGATTGCAGCTTTTCCTAAGACGAAAACCGAAAACCGCCTTCTTGTCGTCCAGTTTCCAATACTGCGCGTAGTGAAGGCCGTTTGTGTCCGGCTCCTCCCAAGCGCAGGATACCTGCCGCAGCTGCAGAACAGCTCACGGAAACCAGATGTATCCAGCTACGCTTCAGAGAGCAGATTCGAGAAACTCCCCCTGCCGCCACCAACTGCTCCGCATAGCCCTGCACGCCGTAACTGCCGCCATGCGCCTCCAATCAACATGATGGTTGAACCATGTTCAACTTCAACACTAGTTCAACGGTAGACATGCACGATAGATCATCTAACGGCTGGGGCTTCAGCGCATGGCCTGATGCCATAATCCGGTCAAGCGCACAACAAAGCCAACATGCCCAGGTGCACAGCGGTAGTCCTGTTGCGAACAGCTGGTGTCAGAGTCTGATCGTTGTACGTTGTACTTCTCGGCTCAGTGCTGAATATCTGCTGCCCCACTTGACGAAGTCCTCGTAATTTGGCATAAACAGAAACCGCGGGTCTGAGGCCATGCGGTTGCACATGAGCTGGTAGCGAGGTTCGAACAAGTTGAGACCTTCAGTACGGAGGAGACCTACATGCGCTCGCATAGACTTTGTAGACACAAACCCTCGGTGAACCAGGCGACCAATCGTGTCGCCAATATTTGCCAACAGCAGATCATTGAAGTAAAAGACCGGCAGCACGTCCGGTTCCATGGCTCAGTACTTTCCAGGACTGACTGAGAAATCCACAAGTAACTTGTGGTTCTTGCTTGTTCCTCGTGTTTGGATCGGGGCGCAAGCTTGTTCATTCATGCGAAAGGAGTCATTGTAGGCTGGTGACAAGTTTGTTGCTACCAGGGGGTGCTCACCGTGCAACAGTGCTGTGCCTTAACGCGAACAGACGATTGACGTCGTTGGGACCCGTCCTCACGTCATCACATCGTTGAGTTGAATTTCTGACGCTTTCGAGCCGCACTTGCGCATGGATGCAAGCGGTCATGGCCCAGTTACAGTCCAGGTACTTCTTGCCAAGTAAGCACTGCATGGGTCTGCCCCAGAAGATCGTGGTCAAGAAAAGCATGGCTTACTCGATTGATCTCGATTCGCTTGGATGACCATGTGCCTGTGACATATCCCGGCCGAGAACTTGTTGAACCCCGACGTCACACAGCTGTTTCCCTTTTTTCAACTTGCAGCATCAATTCGGAATGGGCACCCAGTTGCCATGGCTGTCCAGAACGTTCTTGTGACCTCATGTCAGATGAGAGTTCAGAAATGCGTTCAAAACCCTCAACATTTGTGTCAACTTGCGAATCTCCAGGAAGCTAATGGCATCTCACTTGCAAGTGAATGTGCCATGCCATTACACCCCAAAAAGTGTTGGAGCTAGCTGTCCTTCATGATTCATAAGGTCATTAACAGCTGTGACCAGCCTTAAACTTAAGTGTTCCAGACTCGGCCAACAATCAACTGGCAAGTTACTAGACGATGTCTTTACACAGGTGTGGGATGGTGTGGGTCACGGTGTACCTCAAAGGCACATAGAGGGAGTCGACGGGGTAGTGCCCACACAGTGAACAACATGATTTGCACGATGAACGAAAGCACACTGCTCCGCCAAGCATCGGAGAGATCGCGAGAAAGTTCCTGGTCGGAAGAACAAGCACACGATACAAATCATTCTTTGGGGTTTAGGGCTGCCATGCGGTTTTACACGATGACAATGGTACGTTGGGGATGTTCGGGGTTCCTGTAGTTCCTGTCTTCAGCTCACGCGGACGAAAAAGGTGCAAGATGGTGCAATTCTTGACTCAAGAGTCAAGAGTCCAGGTCGTGACCTTAATTTTCCTGGGACTGCGTTTTGCACGATGGAAATCTTAGTCTGACCTGGGGGGGATGCAGCGATTGCTTAGAAGGCCCTCAGCAAGCGCTCCAAAACAGCTCTTTTCGAGCAACTGTCGAGGTTCGAGCGGTTAGCGAGCGCTTAGCGAGTGCTCGCCAGGCTTTTTGGAGCCACTCAGAAACCCCTCCCCCTGGTAGACCCACCTCCCTTAACATCTCCATGACATGCCAGTGTTATAAGAACATGCTGGCATATCGCTCTATTATTGTATCATTCGACCTCATGGCTGATGTGCCAGGCCCCTAGGCCCGAGAGGCCAAGAGACAAAACGCGTAGCGCAAGCTAGCACAAGTCTCGGCTTCTGCCCGCCTCCACCCAGGCCGTGCGAGTAGCACCTTTGGTGGGCTTGCTTGATGCTTTCCTATGCTTTCGGTGCTGCTGCCGTGTGCTGCCATGCTGCCACTTGTGCTCCATGAGCTCGCTTGGCAGGATTCGCTGACCCTGGAGCAGGTTGCTGAAATCTGGCACAATGAGGCGTGTTACTTGTGCGGCCCTCCAAGCACCATGCGGGATGAGGCAGCAGTGTCCATTGCAAGGCATCCCTCGCCGACCAGCTTGTGAACCAGCCAACCTGAGCTCTGCATCAGCTCTGCATCAACTGTTCTCTCTTCTGTTCTCCATCGCCTCAGAAAGATTGTTGCCTTGCTGTCCGAATTAGGTTTCCAAGAGCTGATTGCTGTACTTTTGGTGTGCGCCCTTTCCCCCGGAAGCGCCTACTGTCCAGTCCGGCCTGGATTTCACTTGGCAATAGTACTATTTCCCGTCGTGCGCAGCCTGGATTGTGCATTGCATTTCCTTGCACCGGTACATGCACTGGAATGCCTCTTCGTCGATCCATGCTGGATCTTGCGAAGTGGTCGCACAGCTGTGGGCTGCATTCCATCTGTAGCCCACATATATACTGTACTTGATTTGGGTTTAGAGGAGTACACACATGGTCCAATGAAACGACCCAACCTCACATGCCAGACATTCCCGATTCCCACAATAGAGCCGACAAAGAATCAGCACAGCACCTGGAATAGTAGACACCAAAGAACAGACCAGTAAGACTGCCATCATCGCGCTGCGCTAGTTTGCCAGAAGTGCTTGCAGAAACTGAACCGTGCAAGCAGAGTAGCTTCTATCGTTGCCACTAGCAGCGAATTGATTAAGCCTGAGGCATCAAATGTCCCGCTGTGGTGGTCGCGCGTTCCTTGCAGCTGGAGCTGTCATACTGCAGGAGCATGCCATGCAGTGAACGTGCGCATCCACATATCTTATATATCTCATGAGATGCTGGGCCCAAGGTTGTAGGGTGCCCTGCTCATGGTACCACCTTCTGCCATGAAGGGATGCTCGCCTGCCAGGATGAAGTTCAACATTGAGCGCAGCAAAGCTAGGACAATGCCGCATGCAGAGCGCATGCAGAGCAGGTGCTGACAAAAATTGTACGTCTGGCGCAGCCCAGGCTATGCTGATTTGCGAAATGCCGGAGATGCTTCGTTCTAGAGTGTACGTCTCAAAACTCAACAAGGAACCGTGGCTTTGGAAAAAACACGATGTTCGGCAACATGGCCAAGTCGCCTTTGCACAGCATCATATAGACACAAATTCCGAACGCCCACATGTCAGCAGGGAAGGAGTAGCCCCGGCCTGCAGGGTTCAGTTGAGCATGTCACGATAGGCCTCGCCTGCTTGAGCCTTTGCAGTAGCTTACTTGCGCCGAACCCCTTGCCACTCAAAGCGAGTAGCTAAGCTTGCACAAGAATGCAAGCATCCACAAGCCTCGTGGCAGCTGATGTATCTCAGGAGAAAAGAAAATCGGAGTGCCCTTGATGTCAGTGAGGTCCTGTCGTGCATGTTGATTGACCGAGCCAATGCGGGGACTACCCATAGAATACGAACCGTTGCTGTACCCTACCAGACACTCTAGCAAACATTGCACCAACGAAGTTGGCCCTGCCTGCACGGGGTTATCTGCTAAGCAGGCGCAACCGAAGTCGGTGAGCTTTACGACCTGTGCTGGATGTAAAAAAACTGATAGATGAGCTCGGCCGTTTGCTGGAGAGGTCAACGGTCAACGACTTCAGAGCAGCGGCTTGGCAGACGTAGCTATCCAATGATAAATTACACAACCACATGTGCCTCTGCACAAGCGATTGCCAGCTGCCCTTCCACTACAGAGTCATAGTCCTACTGACTCAGAATTAATTACTTGACAGCACCCAATTCTGAACCTACTGTTTGGCCGACTGCCTCGTCTTCCGCAAACACGAGGTTTGAGGGCCTTCCGCAGCACACAGCATACAGATCTTGTGTTTAAGTGCAAGTTGGGTATGCGCTGCCGAGAACTGTTCGCTCAGATCATTCGGGTCCACTCCAGAAGCCTGTTCCCTAAATGTATCAATCATTGCCATCATCATGTCGCCCATCATCGCACAGCGCATGGAACATCCTACAACTCCGATGGCCATGCTGTGTCGCGGTTTCTCGCAGAAATGGAGTCGATTCGGGCTTTGTGCAATTAAGTCCATGAGCAGTACACCGGGGAGCCGGGCTTCACATCTCGGTGTACAATTAGCAGGTCTCGCAAGAAGTGCAAAGCCTGAAATGCAGCAGCCTAACCACTCGAAACTAAGTTTTCAGACGCTTGCGGCAGCGCTATCCCTATGCTAGATGTGCAACCAGCAACCAAACAGCTTCAGAGCCTCAGGATGCAGTCAGTGTGAGTACACTGCGATTACCATCTCAGGACAAGCCGCCCCAGCAACTTGGTAGACAAGCTTGGCGGTCAATTTCTCGCCACCTCCAAGCAAGGGCAAACTCGGGTGTTGATATGCTTCGCTTCCAGTGCATGCTTGCTGTGAGCGCGGTAAAGATGAGTAGCAGTGTGGACCACTGTGGACTCTTCGGGATATGAGCGAAAATACACATCGCTTTGAGTGCACAAAAGACGCGACATGATCCATCATGATCCATCGCGCTCAATCAGTAGCGATTTGTTGAGTCTGTTTGGCACCTTCTAGTATAGACATATACATAAGAAAGAAGTAGTTGTTTAGCTAAACAACATCAATTTACATGATCATATTGGAATTTTCGCAAGAGAAGAAACCTGTGAAATGGCTCTTCGGATGCAAATAGGCTAAACCGGTTGATTTGAATGATTTTGGTCTATAACATGATAAAAGGGCACAGTCACTTTCCGTTCGCGCTAGCAGCATATAGTCTTGCTCCATTTTGCTACAGGCAGCCGACTTAAGGAACTTTCTAGCCTGTACGGCAGCCGCCAATGTACAATAGCCTCTAGCGGCGATGTGTCTTAGGGACGCGACCTGCAATGACTACTGAAAAACTGCTGCTGGACATATTGTTTCATTATCATGTTACAGTCATGTTACTAAGCAATCCGCCAATGACGAAACAACTCGGCGCTGAAGGAGAACCCAAGACGAAGCGGTGTCCGCTCCGCTTAGAACATTGTTATCTTCTATAGCCTGACATTGCAGCTTTGAAGAGTGCCCCAAAAGCGTGAACTTATACTTCTGGGTGTGCGCAACACGGACAAAGCCCACAGGATGAGGAGTGTTGCAAAGCCCGTCTGCAAACTTCTTGCAGACGGTTTTTGAGCGCCAAAAAAAAGACGCATCGACATCGCAGACTTGACATGCCTTCTCGGAACCTTTTGGAATGGATCACGTTGTTGAGATTGCCCTTAGAGCAGTACCTTGGCAGATGCAGAGAATTGAAAGGACACATGCAAGCCGAGCCTCTAAATGGACATCTGTCGTCGGGCAGCGTACAGATCACTCACATCTACAGTAACCAATAGAATACAAGTAGACGGGCTGGACCAGCATTGTAAACGATGGTTGTTCCATGCTGCTGCACGTCGAACTGCGAACACTTGAGAGCAGAGCGTTCGAAAGCTAGCGCACTGCAGACACTGTCGCTTTATCTTCTCCAATCAACGGGCAGTATGCATGTGCAAAAAGTGTCGAACCTGTCATGCACATCACACAAACTCTCTTACACATGAGCTCAGGTCATACATAGGACACACATCCTAGGAAACCTCACAACGCAAGATCGTCCAGGGCACTCGTCGCCTGTTTGCTATTACGCAAACCGGCTCGTCTAAATGTTGGAGATCACACAAGGCAAGCTCCTACAGGATACTCTTCACTGTCTTGCTGCGTGCAATGCAAGCTCATATTGACAGAGTTGGTTCGATGCATGCGTGTAGTCTTCCTGCGTACGAAAGAGTTCATACATCACACATAGAAAGCATCTTCTGACTTCTCACAAAGCAAGCTCGTCTAGTACACCCTTCGTTTGCTTGCTGCCATGCGAACCGGTTCTGCAGTTCGGAGATCAAACAACGCAAGCTCATGCAAGAGACACTTGCACTGCAACAGCGATAGCAAAAATCGCCAGACATATTGGCTAACAATGGGGACCTGGGGGGGGGGGGGGGCCCGCTTAGGTCCCAGCGTGAAAGGAATCCTTGTATGGCGCCCCCCAAAGGGGGGGGCTGGGCCCCCCTCGGCACCTTAAACCTCCGATATATACGGAGATTAAGGCCCCTGAGTGCTGTTTGACCCAACAACAAAGTGGTAAACAAGAACTCCCGCAGGCTCCGAAGGAGCTAGCTTTCGTGACATCTCTGAGGTCCGAACTCAAGAACCAGGTGGATAACGCCAATCTCCTTGTTTGTTGCCATTCTGACGATTTGGCGGCACAGCAATCACTGTGCAGTCAAGACATGTCAAGACCATGTCGCCCTAACATATTAGCCGCAGCAACACGGTCCCACATTGTTGCGATACTTCTACATGCAGTCACCGCGGCTATCGGAAGCAGCGTGCGCATGCACCCACACCCAACGACAACAACGGCAGTGCTAGCCGCAGCAGCAGCGGGATTCCATCCATTCTGTAGTCCTCAAAGCACTCGAAGTACTCGACGATGTTCGGATGCTTCCCGGAGACCATCTGAACGACACAAGAGCCAATGCTGCCAAGCATAATCTGAAAGGCCGCGATGCAAAGTTTACTTGATGACCATTTTAGTATGCTGTTGCTCGCTCCTATTTCTGAAACAGACCCCAGCATAGGTACAGTCAGTGTACAGCACTCCCCGCAGCCTCCAGCAATTCAATCTCCTGTATAACCTCAAAGTGAGCATCAAGGCCAGATGAGTTGGCAGACCATGAAAAACCACAGCGATGACAGCGTCCGAAGGGCAGGCACTTCACGTGAATCTGCATCATCAACTTGCTCCAGATTCATGCTCCGGCTAATGGGCTTCCGAGATGGGCCTGAGCGCCAGGCAGCCGGCCGCGTCCACCAGGTCTCCTTCACGACGCTCTTAACCTGACACTGGGCATCACTAAATATTAAACCATCCATGGCATACGAAGGAGACACCTTTGAGACCAATGAACCTTCGACCGCCGAACAAACGCGGAAGCGAATCCTGAGGCTCCGCACGCATCGGTCGGCCCGGGTGCTCAACTCCACACACCTCTCCAGAGGATGACATCTCTCACTTGACAGAACTCCACACACCTGACACATAAAAACACGCACAATCACAACAACATGCAAATTCCATACAAAGAGTGTGCAAGTAGCATGTCGGCAAAAGGCTAACTACCTTTCCGCGGCTTGATGAGACGTGCAACCTCCGGGTGCAAAGCGTTCTTGTCTGCAGCGCACTGGCACCGGTTGAAAGATTGAATGGTTTAGGGCTTGGGATCGAAATGGCCGAAATTTTCTGAACATCCTTCTGACGTACTTTGAAAGCACTTTCCTCCTGGGCCGCGCGCGGGCGCACTTGACCAAAAGCTCCAGCGCCGACGCAATCATCCTCTCGCAGCAAGTTCTGGCTTTGGGTATGGACGGTATGGTTAGGCTTCTCCAAGCCTTGAAGACAGCAGTACGGACTTGGCATTCATAAATTCTTCCAGAAAGTCTGCTGGGAAAGTCTGCTGGGACCGACACCATCCGACACCGGAGACCCTGAAGCCTAATGAGGGCCTAATGAGGGCCTAATGGGCAGCTGCATGGTACAAACTCTTCAGCACTCGGCCTTGCCCCGGCCAATGTAGCTGATGTCGTATCTCCACCTCAGTGAAACTTGCCAAAAGAAACCCACCCGGAAGACCATATTGACCAAAGCACTTAAACTTGACGCAGAGTGAAAACATGTCGCAACATGTCGCAACTGCTCACGTCCGGGGCTCGTGCTCAATGAGACTGTACGGCTTGAGCGGCACGAGGTGGCAAAGGGCGGCCCCCATGGTCTTAACTGTCTTAACTTCTAAAGCTTTTTATCGTGTGTTTGATAGTGCAACAAGCTTTGAGTGAAGGCTGGGATCTCAGTGGCTCGATGGGATTTGAGAGATACAGTACCGCAAGTCCCGTTCCGGACAGAAGTTGCTTTGTACATTGTTTCAATTTCTTTAAGCCGAACTTTGGGCTGGCGCCGACCGCAAGATGCCCTGCAAAGGTGCTATCCGAGGTATTTCTCGTAGTTACTCAACTTTCGTGATCTTTCTTACTGCTCGGCATGGTTTGGTAGAAGTGGTCTTTGACCAGCAGGAGATGATGCTGCTCTCTTCGTCATCGTACACATGGCCGGGCAACTTTTCTTTCGCGGCCGAGCTTTGTGGCCTCTGGTATGACGTGTGAACTCCGGTGTCTGGAGGACGCAGGGTGTTTCATGTAAATTCGAGTAAATGCGTGTCGTATGAGATTTCAATCATTTTGCATGACAATCTGGCAGCATCCTTCCATCCCACAGCTTGGTGCAGAGCGACCCTGGCAGTCTAAGGCAGTCTCGGCCCTTTCAGAAGCGCCACCGCGGCGGCTCCTCGGCGACGGAGCATAAGCTCGCCTGCTCCATGCTTTGAAATGGTGAATTTTCCATCGTTCTCATTGGGAACTTTAAGCATTGCAGAAATCCCTGACTCTGCACGGGTGGCATCCGGCCGACAGATCGGCCGACAAACTGTGACGCAAATACTCAAGGCTTGTTTACGATGCTCAGCAAAGCGGTAGTAACGTGACCGGTGCAATCTTCCTCGAGGATGAAGCCGATGCCAATGTTTCAACGGCTTAACATTGCCGGGGATGCAAAGCGCTCTACCCCACGCCGATCACTCGCAGCCCATCCCAGCACCCCTTATCGCACCCCTTGCAGAGCCATGGCGTGCACAGCATGGTGCCTACGGCCGTTGCGACATTGTGATGTTAGCAGCAAGTTGATACTGCCTGACATGGTGTGCCTTGCGTTCCACGGGTGAAGGCGTGCGTCGGGCAGGACGTGGCTGCTGGAGGCCTCCATGAGCGAATATGTAGCAACATGCAGAATTGCAGCAAAAAGATCCTCAGATTCTGCAGCGGGCTCAGTACCTGAACTTTCATGCCATGATGGCATACTACCACAGCATGCCACGGCTGTATTGTGTGGCAGCCAGCAGACTGCAAACTTTCGATATCCTTCGATATGCTCGATAAGTCAAAACTTCAACAACGGTGCTTGATCCGGTACCTTGTTTATTCCTCGCTTCACTATTCATACTGTGATGCTCGAGCAATATCTCGTTAAGGGTGAACTCAAAATATTCGAATTTAGGGGCACCTACCAATCATCCTCAACACAACACCCTTCTCCTCCAACGCTGGAGGAACTTGCTGCTGGGCAGGCCTGGAGGTTCCTGGCGCCCTTTTGCTCCTCCACGCTCTATACCCGTCAGTGAATTACGAGGCCCCTTTCCCACCCCATTCGCCCAGCTTAGGAGGGCCAACGCGGGCCATATGGTGGCCATGGAGGTTTCGAATGACATTTTACCCTGCTCAGGTCGCTCACTCACTCCTTCCAACACTCACTCGCCCATCCACGCAACATTCATGCTGCAGATTGGTGATGCCCTTCGGTCGTGATGCGACTTGTGGCGATACATGACCATCAACAGCCAAGATCTTCAGCTATCTGTAGCATATGTAGCATGTAGAAGAATCTCATAGCTTCTCTTCAGTTTGGGCATGGCCTGAGCTTCGTCGCTGGACTGCCAACGTTTCATCCGCCAACCTGGCGTCACGTCACACTCCACAAAAAAAGGCCTACCGTCAGTTGCAATTGGGGACCATCTTCATCATGCTCTCATTGTTGGCACACCTTCAGTGGCACAAGCTGCCATGGTTCTTGTCGGAATCTGTCTGCAGGGCGTGTGGCTGTTGACTCCTTTGTCCATTGCTGCACTGCTCTTGGATCACCATACACATATCTTGTCGGTTGCAAGCCAGTTTGTCCAAGCCATTCCGCATGTGCGCCGAGACACCAACTCAACAGGTCAATTGTAAACAGGTGATGCCAAGATGTTGTTCAATCCATGGAGCGCAGGCACGCACGCATACTGTACACACACACCCGAGTTCTAGGAACGACTCAACATCAAAGTTCTGACGGCGACTCTCAGTTTAACTTTCCCAGTGGCGAGCTTAACTTTCCGGCGATGAATCTTGACCTTCCTTCCCTTCATGCATGTCATGTTGTATTTCTGCAGACCTAAGCCCCGCTTCCTTCGATTCGTGGTGATCATAACTCTGGGGGTACAGGCTCCTTTCTCGAGGCATCAAGTTCCGCAGAATACGAAACGTGCGGATTGTAAACACAGTCAGATTCTCTAAACTAACCTGAGCTCATCTGGCTTCTAATACAAATCACGGAACTTGTATTTTCTACTGACGAATACCTTAGAGTAGCGTCAGCATAAATCGCCTCGGCCTGACTAACCAGTGCACAGGCACGAAGTCATTCAAAGGTAGGAGTCTATGGTGGACCCTATGGACCTCTCTCGCACCCACTGGACCTCTAAGGAACTGCAGGGGAATTCTGGGGATCCTTAAACACCCACGGATTGAGCCAGCGAATGCGCGAACCACGGATTGAGTCCGAACGCGAGCGACATGGGTACCCCCCCTGTTCCCCCCCCCCCTTTTCTCCTCCCCCCCTCCTACCCCCCTATATACCCCCTACTTTACCCCCCCCACCCCCCCCCCCCCCCCACCCCCCCCCCCCCCCCCCCCCCCCCCCCCCCCCCCCCCCCCCCCCCCCCCTCCCTCCCTCACTACAGAATATTGGTGAGCGGGTTTTCGAAGCTCAACTGGTGTGAGCACGGCCAGGGATGCATTACACGAGCTGAAGAGTCTAAGCTTGAACCTCAACCTCGAAGCACTCCCTCCCCCCCCCCCCTTCCCCTTCCCCCCCCACCCCCCCTACCCCCCCAAATATTCAACATACCCCTAGGGCATACCCCTTGAAAGAAATTAAGGGGTATGGCAAAATCCTTCCTTAGACTCCTGTATATTATCCTTTCATTTAGGTTAAGGGGTATGGGTTTGGGGTATGGTGAATGTTTCTTAGACCCTACGATCAATCCAAACCGAACCCTAAACCCAAAAAAACCCTAAACCCCAAAGCGTGAACCTTGAGCCCTAAGCCCTCAATCCTAAACTAACCCTCAACCCTAAACCCCAAACCATAAACCATAAACCCGGAACCCTAAACCCTAAATCCAACTCTTATTGCCTGGGGTCCAGCGACTTGGGCGCTGCGGAATCACCATGCTCACGCGGATGCGCTGGGCCGGGCCGAGGCGGGTCGCGTAGCGTTAAAATTAATGCCTATGCCAAAAAGCCACTTAACTCTGAACACTTGTCTTCTACAAATCTCCCTGCAGACAATCCTTCAACGTGTTTCTTAGATGTTCAGGGCGGGCCGAGGCGGTCGATGCGCTGCGTTTATCATTAGCGAAGACAAAGCTTACTCCAATAAGCTTGGTGAAGCTTGCCACTTCAAAAAGCTCATAGCATAGCATGCACAAACACTGACCGGAACGCACAGGCCTGGAGAGGCAGCTCGAGAGTCGCCCTGCCTAGTTTGGCTGTTCATAGAAGATTCCGCACGCAAAGCTGGCGGAAGACTCAGCAAGTGCAGGCAAGCGCGCATTGCCATTGGCCGTGAGCTTGACTGGTCGGCATGCACGGTGAACATCTAAAGGTTCGGCAGATCTGGCAGCGGTCTGCAGACCACTTGAAGCTCTGCCTGCAACAACAAAGGGACGACATCATTGAAGTCTACTCACAGAGCCTGCGTTCCACAGAGTCCGGGCCTGCTGGGCCTGCATTGGGACTGCCGGCACGTTTTTGGTCCTGTCCCAGAAACTTAGAAACGCGTTGCAATTACACGCGCTTGCTCGACCTGATTCTCCGGTTGTGAACCTGCTGCGCACCACAACGCGAAGCCTTCACAGAATTGGCCGCTGCACGCTGACAACTCGACCTTGTCTGCGAGAACATTCTCATACATTCTCCTCTCCCATCACTTGTTTGCATTTCGAAGGAAGCGTTGCAATGGGAGTCACAATGAAAGCGCGATCACATTCAAATCCAAAGCTGCCGAATTTGCTGGCACTTGGCTCCCAAGCACTGCCCTGGCATCACACGTGGACTCCTGGCTGTGTTGCTAGCGTTGCTACACGTTGAAAATCGTTGCTATCGCTGGGTTCTTGGGCTTTGCAACGACGGAAAAGTGTCTGACGCTGTACGTGTGTGAGTGCGGGTACACCACGAACATCAAACAAACATCATAAGAACAACACACAAAGTGACTGCCGTCACTTAGACTTTAATTCCGCAACAGCTCGAGCTTCTGCGTCTTCTTTGAGGACTGGGGGGAGATTGGGGTGGACACCTCGGTGGGTTCCGGGCCAGACAGGTTCCGGGATGGGTTCCAGAACCAATGCATGAGAGCGCACGTATATTGAAGGTGTTATTGTGGTTTGTGTGCTGTTTGTTTGTCTCCTGTCCGTTGTTTGTGCACCTGCGTTGCTCGTGTGGTCCTGGTTTTTTGTTCGTTTGTTGTGGGTTTCTGAATCTTATTTTGGGGCTGTTGTTTTGTTCTGTTGTTGCCGGTTTGTTGTTCACGTATTGTTCAATCGTTGTTCTCTTGTTGTTCGTTTGTCGTTTCTTTGTGGCTCTTTTTTGTTCTTTCTCAGTTCCCCGTTTTTTGTTCTTCGGTTGTTTGTCGCAGTGTGTGTGTGTGTGTTGTTCTTATGATGTATGTTTAATTGTGTCCACTCGGATGGGTCGATAACTTTCGATGTGCCAAGAGAAGTGACCGCTTTCTTGCCGTTTATCTTATTCTGATTGAATGCATTTTGTTTTTCGACAAATTGTTCACATGATATCAACATTTCTCCGAAGGCATGCGGTTTTGTCGTTCTTCAAGAAGTATGTCTCCTGGCTTGAAGTTTTCAGGTCAGCACATGAGGGAACATATAAACCGTTAAGTACGCCTCTTTTTATCGGCAACTTGAGCCACAGTCGAGGGTAAAGCGATGGTATGCACAGCTCGCAAAAGGAGTGTAATTCCTCCATGAAAAACTACACCCCCCTCACCGTGCTTGGCACAAGCTAAGGTGGACAGAGGATTACGACACACCCTTTCGGGTGGCCCATGTTGTCCCACCCGCTATGACCGAAACAAAGGTGAAGGGAAAGCAAAACTTGAGCTATTGTGCATTCAAAATGGGCATTCAGCGGCTCCACCACTGCGATCCGCGCTGACTGCTCCAGCGGGATGAGCCCCAACCCTGACTAGCTGGCTCACGCCACTCACGCCACTCGCGCCATTCACGGTCTGACCACCACTGTTCTTGCCCTTGATGCCAGGGTGCTTCACGAACAGCTGTGTCCCTTGATGAGGCGCTCTGCGTCGATAGACGGGTAGTAGTGGCAGCCTCCGTTCGCTGCTGTGCCGTCTCTCGATTAGTGGCGGCGTGGTAGGCGGTGATTCTTTCCTGCTCCTCGGCAGAGTGGATGCATTCGGCTGCCAGCATTTGCAGCTCGGCAATCATGCCTTCCGGCGTTTCATGCTTGATTTCCACAATGCCGTTGAAGCTGTAGATTGTGCGGGCACCGGACAAGCGGGTGGCGATATCGGCATAGAAGCTGAAGCCGATGAAGGCGCCGCCGTAGGCCATCCCGATGGGGTTCTCGGAGAACTGGTCAATCAGTCCAGCCGATTTTAGGCCATCCATTGGCGCATCGCCATAGTAAACCAACTTGCCCGGCATTCCCTTTCGGGAAGCTCCGCTGAGGTAGTTCGACCCCGCCTGCAGAAGCCGCTGCTCTTCTGTGCGGCCTGGGTCCGGGAGCACGGCCTTCACCAGGAGGTCCATTCGGCACGCATCCTGAACCGTGATTCCGTTCCTCATCATCTGCAGGAAGAAGGTGGCATCACGTTCCAACCGATCAGCAATGGAGTCGAACTTGAGCTTTCTCGCACGTTGGAACTTGTCTTTGGCATCGCGTATGATCAGCGCATCCAGGGAGACTGAGCCCCGCTGTTTGCTAAACTTTTCTGCGATGCCACGGAGGTGTCCCAGGAGATCCTCATTCCGAGCATTGTACGTCAGCTTGAGGAGTGTGGTGCGGCGGTTTTGCTGGAACGAGGAGTACTGGCGGCTTGCCTTGTTGGACTCCGGAAACTGGTTCTCACCGCATGTCATGCAAAAGCGCTGCCCAAGCAGGACGATGCGTTGGCAGGCCGAGCATGGATAGCTCCCGTATGGGGCTTCGCTGTCGCTCTCTGCCTCTTCCGTGTCGGATACCTCCTGCGCAGGCTGCGGTTGGTCATCCACCGATGCCTCGTCTTGCTCTTCAATGGATTCCAACGCAGCAGCATCGATCCTCGCCTTCTTTGCCTCGATGAAAGCGCCAACAGTGCCCTTGACTCGCTTGGGTTGGTCTTCTGGGACAGCCCTTGATGCCAAGGCTTTGACTGTTGAGCTCGAGGAGGCTTGTTCAACAGTATCCGGCTCACCCTCTCGGGTGGCTGCAGGCTGGGCCTCTCCTGCTCTTGCGTAGATCACCTTGTTCGTGTTGGTGTCCACACATGACAGGATATACTGAGGGCCAACGACTGCACGGGTCAAGATCCCGCGCGTACTGTTCTCGAAGAAGACGAGGCCATCTCGGAGAGCTTCATGCAGGTTCACCGCAATCTGGAACGGCTGCGTCGACCTGAGTCCAGAAGTGTACTTCTCGTCCTTGAGGGTGGTAGGTGAGAAGTACGCATGGGCACGCCCGCCCTTTCTGCCGCCAGCAACCTTGATCCCGGATTTCAAAATCAACTCCACGCTCTTCGCATCCGTGCGGTGGTATATGACCTGTGGAGCGACATCCAAATTCTCATTGGTGAGAAACCTCCGGGCAAGGAACTCGTCTGACTCGATGCGCATCACTTTCTCCGAGTGGCCGGTGACTGCTCTGATCCGCACAGGAAAGAGGGAGAGATTCAGGCTGTTGCTGATCTCGTGTCGGATCCCAAGAATCTCGAACCTCCTCTTTTTGTCCTGCGCGGTCACCTGCAGCAGCTGTCTTACGCCCCATTTTCGACGAGTTGCTTCATTGAAGCGGTCCAGGAGCTTATCGACATCCGTCCACATGGCGATGTCGAAGTCCAGCCCGTACCAGTCATTCTGGTGTCCCCTCAAGAGCAAGCTGAGCAGCTTGAGGTCGCCGTGCCTAAAGTTCACCCGCTGTTCATACTTGCGGAGATCGGCACTTGGCAGAGGCTCAAGGTCGTGGAGTTCCCCGTTGTACCAGTAACCGGTCATCGGGAGGTCCTGCTCCTGGCTTTCCTCTCCACCATGGGTTTTGGATGCGTCCTGGTACATCTCGCGGGCGTAGACATCCTCGCTTTGCCCCGACGACTTACCCTTTCGGGTAGCTGCGCTTGTTGCCCGGCCGTCTGACGCCAGGGGGGGTCGATAATCCCCATCATCGGCGAGCACGACCTCGTTCAGGGGAAGGTACTCAGCCTTCTCTGACTCGGCCTGGACGACCTCACCCTTGACCTCATCGATCTCCGATACGTCCGAAACCACAGGATACTCCACCTCTGATCGGGCGATCGTTTTGTCTTGCTGAGCGGGTGCGGCAACTGGTTCATGCGCAGTGTTAGCGTCGGGGACCTCCCACCAGGTGTCTTCCTTGCTGATCTTCACGGGCACAGGCGCTTTGATCTTGTGGACCTTCAGGTCTTTTCTGCCACTTTCAACCACCTCCTTGTAGAGGCGTAGGGCTTCACGACCTGCTGCACTGTCCATCCTGTATCCGCCTTCCACCTCGACGTAGGGAAAAAGATCTCCTAGTCGATCCAGAACATCTGCATACCGTGACGCTTCCCTTTCTAGGTCGCCAAGGAGCGCCGTGGTGTAGATGTAGTCTTGGATCTGCTTGCGGTTTTCGGGGGTATCCCAAAGATGAAAATCATCGTAATAGGACAGCTTCATTGCCTGGGATGTGGCGTTCTGAACTTGCAATCCGCGACTCGTGAATTCATGAAACATCTTGGAGATGAATTCATTGTACGCGGGATGCAAGTTGTAGGTCTCGTGGTCAACGTTGCCGACGATGCGGACAAACCCGATATGCGGCTCACCCGCTAGGGTGGCTAGCGCGTCGGCGCAGCGCCTCACCTTCCTCGCAACATCTTCTGCCGAGGTCTGGGAGGTCGAATATGCCGCGCCCGGAGCGAGCCGCGTGGGGATGCATCCTCGTCGTCCAGCAACTTCATTTCCTGACCACCAAACGATCACATCGATCTCGCACTCCGACCCATACTTGGCACGGATTGCCTGGATCTCCTCCTGCACCTGCCAAGTGAGCCACGAAAGCGTTTTTCCCCAGCACATGTGGAGTTTATCGCTCGTGTAGCTGAGGGTCAGTGCTGCCATGAAGATCTCCTCTTCGGGAATGGAGAATTTCCATTGCCCCTTGGTGTTCTGTCGTCCAAGGGATGTGACTGAGTCCGTCACCACTAGCAGAAAGCGACTTCGGCGCAACCTTTCGGTTGGCTGGAGCTTGCTGAGACCCTCGTTCGAGATGCGAGCCAGCTTAAGCAGATTCGGCGTTGGAATCTCGGGGTCATTGAGGCTGAGGCTGGCGATGGTCTGTGGGGGGAAGACCTCATAGGACTTGAGGAGCGCGTCATACTCCTTCCCCGCCTGGAGCTGCAAGTACTCCACGCTCAGTCCGGCGTTGACGAGCATGTTGAGATGTCCTTGCAGTGCCAAAGGTCGGCCCTCCATGCCAGTATCGCAGGAGTAGCCCGCACCATGGGCGACCAATCGCGACATTGTTCCTAATGCCTCAATACTGCTGACCACTTGGAGAGAGCCAGCTAGCACAGAGAGAGTCGGTCCAGCAGGCTCAACCGAAGCACTTGTGCACGTGGTGTATGTTTGTGCGTTCCCGATCGATGCGCGCAAAACCGACGCGACCGTTTCGGGAGTGGTTTTGGGACAATTTTTACCCCCCTCATCGTGAGGGGATGCACATGAACAAACGCACGCATGTTTCAACTGAGCCCGGGGCGTCCTAAAATCAGTGTCTTGTAGGAGTTGCTTGTCATCGTCACCCAGCTTTGTCCACCCCCCTGATGAG